TCCCTATAAAGATACACTTTATCTTGACCAAACGATAGGCAGCATTTTGAGTGCCTGGAGGTTGCCGTAAAATGCATTCTAAGCATACGAAGCTGCCTTGGATTCTTATACTCCCACTGTTGAAACAATAAGCTAAGATTGCAAGTTGCAAGTTGAGACATCCCTCTTTTTCGATCGTCGTCCCACGACCAAGCAAAAGCGATCTTAAGAACCCCAATCAGAGAAAATTTCCAAAGCGTACACACAAGTCGTCAACCCCTGAATGCAACTTTACGTGATTAGTGGATGTCCATGTTGCATATTCAAAAAATTCAGGCGCACCGACTTTCCTTTCGTTCCCAACAGCTGCGTGCACAAGCACGTGTTGTTGATGGGTATGTGAGGATGCAACTATTTCGCGCTAGATAGATCTCCGCATTGCGTCAGCGAAAAATGAAGGCGCGCGGACTATCTTTACGACCGCAGTACTGAAGCCGTCACGCCGAATCAACAAAAGCAGCGACAGTTTCGAAGAAAAAGGAGGGAAGAAGTTCCCTCAAAAACATTTACACAGTATTTATGCTAGAAGGAGCTAAATAGAAATGAATCGAATCATTGGAGACGATATACATAGGATTGCCATACTCCTCAGTCCCTCTTGATTTAATTTCTCCGTACATGGTTTCTTTTAGCATAAATACATTCGGTTGATCGGTAAAATCTTTTAACACTTAAAGATTACGATGTCACCATTTGTGAGCGCGTAACTCGAACTACATTTCTTTAGTTTTTTTTTCGACCAGAGTTAATAGAAGTTTTAAAATGCTTAAGCTCCTTAACAATTCATTAAGAAAGCAACATTTTTCAAAGCTTAAAGGGTAAATTTTACGAAGGGAACATTTTAGTATTTGTGCTTTAATAGTGTGATATAATTTGGAAGTTGTGAATGATTTCACGATTTTTCCTGGTAAGATAGTTCTAGCACATATCTGTTATGATATCAGGTAGCACACGCGACGCAACATTCATAAATCGTCACAGGACAGAGAAGCGAAGAGCAAACTTTGCGGTTTCAAATGTTTCAGTGACGATTTATGAATGCTGCGTGCCGCAGGTTGCACGGTTTTCTGATTTGACGGTATTTTATTTTTCGCACTAATTATTTCACGATGAATGATAGACGGTATTTTATTTTTCGCACTAATTATTTCACGATGAATGATAGGTACTTCCTATTTTGCACATCTATCCTGGTCTATTATTCAGCTGTTGTACACCGTCCGTTGAAATTTTCTATAATTTTGACTCAATCAAATTACTACCCGATGGCACTTTCCGAGAAAAATCGAAGATGATCCAGTTTTCTACAAGGTGCCATGTTAGTCACACAGTTTTTTTCTGAGGCGCGAGAATAGAATGCATAGGTAAGAAGAGTATTGGCGTAAAGTCCCGAATTCCTCTTAACCGTGCAGCCAACATGTCTTGCTGCAGCTATATAACTTTGTACGAAAAAGAAGGGTGCCAAAATGCAATATATAAAATGCGAAATGAAACAAGGGGGCACCCATCGTAAAAGTTCTGGAAAACCTGACGAACTTAGCACACTGGAAAAAAACTCCGACCGTGGAATACGACTTACCCAAGTAGCATTTCTCAACGGAAAAATCGCGATATATTGCGATTTTATCGGCGATAAAATCGCTAGGAACATCAACATCTGAGCGATTATCCTCGATCTTGTTGCAATAAAATCGCGATTTTATCGCCCGACGATTTATCGCGATATTCTCGAAATAAAAATCGCAATTCATGGCGATTTAATTTCGATTTAATCGACGCAAATTGATCGCGATTTTATCGAACCAAAAATTGCAATGTGTAGCGATTTAATCGCCATATATCGCAATTTTTGATGCGATAATATCTCGATATATTGCCACCGATATAATCGCGATAATCAACCGATAAAATCGCTAAATATCGCGATCACTGCTACTTGGGTACGAGCATCCGGGCTCAGAAGCCGAAACTTCCAGGAGTAGCATCCGGAGCAATCAAAGTTACGGCTCCAGCACCCGGGAGTTTCGGCCTCAGAGCCCGGAATGGACGATATGTCTATAAAGCCCCTTAACTTCTTTTTCACTGCGCAGCGAAAAGTTTGGCAACCTACCATAAGCTTCCGTCCGGACTTTACCTGGTTCGGGGACTGTCGAACAAAATAGGGAGCTTTCATCGGAATTTCGTGGGGATTCGGAGACACACTGCGCTACTGTGTGCATTAATGAGAGCCCGCTCGTTGCCGGGAGAGATGACTTTTGGAGATGATAGCGACGTGATAAATGGGCTGGAGAGCCCGGGAGTCGCAAGTCGAGAGGTGTTGGCAAACAATGCGCCCATTCGTCGACCGGGTTCAACATTCGCACACTTTTCTCCCGACTTACACCGCTTTCCCGGCCCCGAGTCGCCCGGCTGCCAGACCTCCACACTGTCAAAAACCGAGGAGTGGAATGGAGATGTTGCATGTGTGAAGGATTTGCGATTTGACCATTGATTCTTATGTAAAAGTTCGCGAGAAACACGATGGTGCCACTGGTTTTCTCTGAAATCATCTCCCAAGCTCAAAAAAAGCTCTCAAGTTGAGGCCAAAATGGAGGGGATATCCCGCCCTACCCTGAGAGTCCACCTCTGCATCAAAACAAACTCTCCATGCAAAGATAGGGAGCAAATACATTAGCAGTGATGCCGTGTTTTCAGTTTTGGAGTCCCCAAATAAAGTGGCAACCCTGCCAATGTATTTGCTCCCTATCTTTGCATGGAGAGTTTGTTTTGATGTAGAGGTGGACTCTCCGGGTAGGGTGGGATATCCCCTCCATTTTGGCTTCACCTTGAGAGCTTTTTTTGAGCTTGGGAGTTGATTTCAGAGAAAAACAGTGGCACCATCGTGTTTCTCGCGAACTTTTACATAAGAATCAATGGTCAAATCGCAAATCCCTCACACATGCGACATCTCCATTCCGTGCCGGAGTCTGTACAACGCCCAAAAACCCCGAGTGATATGAACACGAAGTGAAATTAAAACCACAAAAGTGTATGATACTCGGCAAAAAGAGGACTCCGCTCCGTCATGGTACAAGTCGCTCAAGCTTTCCCGAAAGGAAGTCACCGAGCTCAACAGGTCAAACGTATCGATGACGTCACTAGCGGATGACACCTAACCGCCAGATGGCTACGAGCCAGTACGCTGAAATTTGATTTATTTTGCCACACGTGCCATTGACGAGTCATTGAAATAGAATGAGTCATTAATGAACATGAAAAAAAATGTGATGAATTTTAATAAAACCATTCTGAAATTCAAAAAGCTACATAGCGCATAAGAGTATGAAAATCTAATACCAGTAAAATTTCCAAACCGCGTAAATCGGTTCGCGACGTTGCAGATTTCCTGTCATACTGTACATTTAAAATGAAAACTACTCGACGTTAATTCTTACAAACTTCCACAATTTTCCTTCTCTGTGCAAAGCAAATTTTAAAAAAAAAACTGCGAGGAAAGATGTTGATTGGTCCTCTTTCAAAAAAATAAAATAGGAGCTGAAATGTTTTAACACCGCAAAGGAGATTAATACGTGTTACCATAGTAAAAGCGAATCTGCCTGACGTCAGACTATGTTTCATTAAGTACCCTAAGTCAGGCTGATGTCAGGCTGATTCAGTCTCGCATCAGCCAGAATCAGTCTGACTCAGGATAATTTACGAAACACCGTCTGACATCAGCCTGACTCACTTTTACTACGGTTTTCGGAGTTTCACCGTCTATATCGACGGTGTAAGTCGGCAATCACCCCGGGTCAAGGGTGTCTTAACCCGGTTTGCGACGTTGCAGACTTACTGTCATACTTTAATTTCTGAACGGAAAACTGTACTCAAAGGCACTTCTTTGAAACTGCCGTGATTTTTCTTCTCCATGCGAAGAAAATTCTGCAAAAACTTCAAGGAATGATGTCAGTTTGTTCTCTTTTAAAAAAATAACATAGAGGCGGAGATTTTCAGATACCGCAAACAAGTTATGTGATTGCCAACTTAAACCGTCGATATACAATTTAACATGTTGAATTCATTTTTCTCGCGGTCCCGAAAATGTCGTAAATGGAGAATTCGCAGATGTCTGAAATTCGATGGATTTCGTGTTTAAGTGGAGACTACTGAGTGAACTGAATACTAGGATACCCTTGGTTCGTGAATTGAACAATTATTGGAGAAATATGACAAAATGATCTAATCTCTAAAGAACAAGTGTTTCGTTGGGAAATGCCGCCAGATGACGTCATCAGGCGGTGCATTTTCTCACTTTTAAATCTATTTTTATACTATTTCCCATATCAGAAAAAAATTATGAAAAATACCGCGAACTCAGTTCATTAGGCTCTCTCAGATGAAGCAGTAAAATTGTTTGTACAAATTCTCCATTAGCCGCTTTATCGGCGAAGCTTCTCAGCGAAGTCTCTCCGTAAGAAGGGCGGCGCGCGATTTCGCAACACTCAGGCGATCGGTCCCTGTCCCCCTGTCCGAGACGCCGCGCCGGGCGTCCATGTGCTCCCGTTTCGAGGCGCTTTTCCGGGACAAAGGGACGGCTCTGATCAACTAGGCCAAGAGCCGCACGAGCTTGGCTCCGTCCGAGATCCGGCGCACTGTGGATCGAGTCAATTAGAGGGGTCGGACATGAAAACGTTTACTAAAACTGCAAATTTTAATGTTTATTTTGTCAAATTTTAAATTTCAAGGGGTGCTTCTCGAAGAGAATTCTACGAGGAAATCATTGAAACCATTTTCAGAACCTCAAAGTTCTGTAAGAACGAAGTTACAAGAGTTTAAAGTTTCCAGATTTTGTCCGACTTCTACCGTTGATTCGATCCACCGTGCGGCGGGCGCGGCACACAGTGGGACACCGCGCCGGACGCACGCACGCTCTAGCTCGACTAAAAATACTCGGGCGTGGGTTTAAAAATAAAATCGCTCACCAGCTCCTAGGTCTTCCCGCACGTGAAGCGCGCAGAGCACGCTGTGCGCGATGTCGAAGTACGGGAACATCTTCAGCTTGGTCACCTGGTTGGCCAGGTCCAGGAATGCTTCGGGGTCCATGCTTCCAGCGACGCACTTACACTTACACACAGCTCAACGAAATCCACGAGAGGGAGAACAGATCAGTCGCGCATCCCGGCGGACACAGGTCGCAGGTCGAGGGTTCAGCGGGAACTGGCGCCGCCGACTGCGCGAAGCTCCGCGGAGCCCGCGGACGCGTGGGGAGGGGCGGGGAGGGGTGGCGCGGCGCCCTCAACGCATGGCGGGAGTGGGTCTCGCTTTAGGGGGCCTTTCAAATTAGGCTCGGCTCAACCCTCTTCCCCTCGTTGCGGCTCGGGGGTGCCCACCCCACGTGAGCAGCCCGCGAAAAGGGCCTCGGGTTCACATCGCTCCCGAGCGGGTAGTGCTTACATTGATTTCGTTCGCGTGGATGGCGATGGGTTTCCGTGGCTACACGGTGATGATTCGACCGGTGTTCGAAGCGTTTCGGGACGACACTCCCGAAAGATTTCGGTGGAGAGGGGGACGTTGCCTGGAGACTGGACTGATTGATTTCGTATGAGAGATGGAGCCACCTGGAACAGAAGAAAGAAAACTGCTTTGTAGCGACACCGTGGTACAACCTAAGCTTAAGGTGATTTGTCAGGCTCAGGTAAACAACGGATCCGGGCGTTTCCTTGGAAATTTTGAAACCACCTAGTGCGGCGCACACATAAAAAAAAAAAAAAAAAAAAAAAAAAAAAAAAAAAAAAACCTTAAGCTGATTTGTCGAGCTCAATTGACGTGGTCGAACTGGCATGCGATATATCATATATCGCATCGATTAGGTCAAAAATCTCGGCAGATTTTGAATTTTTAGCAAAACATAGGACGATAGCCCCTGCGCATGAGCCTGAAGAATCATTTTAAACCCAAAAATCGGCAAAATTCAGAGAAATGAAAGCAGAATAGTGTTGGGAAAAGAACCTTGCATTCGATTCAGCTATCGATTTCTGTATCGAATGCGAGGTTTTTTCTAAACACTATTCTGCTTTCATTTCTCTGAATTTTGTCGATTTTAGGGTTTAGAATGATTCTGATTCTTTAGGCTCATGCGCAGGGGCTATCGTCCTTTTTTCTTTTTTTGCTGAAAATTCAAAATCTGTCGAGATTTTTGACTCGCATGCCAGTTCGACCACGACAATTGAGCTTGACAAATCACCTTAAGGTACCTTTTTTTTTTTTTTTTTTTTTTTTTTTTTTTTTTTTTTTTTTTTTTTATGTGTGTGCTTAAGCTTCGTGAGACTGGAAAAATTATTGAATGACACATTTCCTGTGTTGTTTTGCTGATCTGCCATGAAACGAGCGGGTAATAGGTAGTGCCAGATTGGCTCTATTTATTCAGAAAACATCAGGATGGGTAAAAAGAGGAGCCGATCAGCTAAAACTAATCCACCTCTTAATTTGAATTTTAGTGCGTCACGCCGGAACCGCTTGGAAGCAATACTTCTGGCGGGTTGTCTGGGATTTAAATCGCCTTCCTAGTTTTTTCCCTCTATATCTATCATTTCATTGTAAAGAGTCGCTTGTATTGATGTAAATCTCAGTTACAAAAAATAAACCTATGATTAGGACTTCCACCCCTGCAACTGAAGTTAATTCCTCCCCTTGAAGTCACTGAGTGACTTTTCCCACAATTAAGTGTGACTGTCACTCTTAATTGTGGATTACGCGTTATGCTGAAACAACTGTAAATAATCCACCTTAGGCAGTTCCGCTAGAGGTTTCAACGCAATTGCCAAGTCAAGTGGCTTTCTTAAGTGGGAGAAAATAAAATCGAAAAAAAAACTCCCTTTCGATAGGTAGTAATATCCTTGGGTTATGGTAAATTAGCTGCAACGAGAAACTTTGCCTTTTTTTGGTCGTTTTAAAGGACTAGTATTTAGGAATTTTAGTTATTTTAGAAGAAAGCGATTTAGCGGATCGTGCATAACATATGTACTGCATTTTGCGATTTGGAACTATAAATTCTGGCTCTTCTGGGAAAACACGTATGTGCATTGGGAAACTAATGGAGCATACGTAGTTTTTAAACCGGACTAGAATTTGTAGTTCCAAACTGCAAAATGTAATCCATATGTTACACTTTACTTGCCGTCTTAAAATCATGGCAACTCATTATATGATCATCTGAATGTTTGGGACCGTTGACATGTACTTCCTTCTCTCCCATTAAACACGCGCCCTGCAAGCTCCGAAAGGCGGATACAACCCTATCGAACGGGGAGGGGGCCTATGGGGGGAGGGGNGGGGGGGGGGGGGGGGGGGGGGGGGGGGGGTCGAAGGGCCTTCTTCAGAAACATGTGGAATTTTAAAGCATGTGACATGCAGTTTGAGTCAATTTCGTCATGTATAATTGCCGAATGTGAGCGTCTTTTCTTCTTCTTTCCTCCGTTCCTTCCTTCTCTCCTCCTTTTCTTTCTCTACCTCCTTTTTTTCGCGGGGACGGGGGGGGGGGGGGNGTAGGGGGCGTACGCCCTCTACGCCCCCTCCTCCCCTGGATCCGCCTATGGAAATTCCTCACTTAGGTGCGCCATTGCCACTAGTGGAAGATGGAAAATATTTGACCGCCTGGTGCATACACAATAAATGGAAGCCACGATGAGTGCCTTCAATTGGAACGATAGGCAAACGTGGTTACTCAGAAGCTGTAATAGTTGTATTCAGTTATTGTGAGAGAATTGATATATTTACGTAAGATCGGTGAAAGGCAGTACGCGTGGTTCTCTCTACTTTTACACTAAATCGCTGACTCTATCCGTGGTGAGGAGAGCAATGTTTACATTTTTTTCTCCTTCTCTTTTGTTAGATGATTCTGGAGAGAAATACCCTAGATATAATAGAAAAATAAAAAAATCACGACCGCACCCTGTTTCCTAGGAAACAATTTTGCCGAGATGAATTAAAAAGCTTAGAAGATTTTAAAATTAACAAGATAGATGAAAACAAAGCCTTCAAAAGCCACAATGGTTTCATCTGTATACTAATATACATACTTCAATATAATGACCAACAACAAAATATCTTCCTTGTATTATGGAGAAGAAAAAAAGACACTGAGCAAAGGTATAGCAGTTTTAGTGGCCCTCTCTACTTCTGCAATTTGACCTAAAGAGTACTTGCATCTATTGGAAAATTGTTAAGTAATTATTTTCCCCCTTAATTTTGAGAAATGCTCTTGTTGTGATACCTCAATATATGACAGTGGTATTACTGATGGAGATTGCGAGTCCTGCAGAGAATATTCTTTTTAGGCCCCCTCCAACTGACTGCCTAGTCCGTCCCATCATTTGAATGGAGCAATTAGGTTTGTATTCTGGTTGTCCAAAATTGAAAAATTAGCTCATACCTACTATTGGACCTCTTTTGATATAATGACAATATTACTCATTACGTGAATAGCTCCTTTCTCAAGTTAAATAGCAAGGCAACATTATGTCGATGACAAGTCAAATGTTGTTCATAACAACACTTGTTAAAACTGCTACCTGAGTAGCCTGATTGGATGTACAAACCTGCTTGCTAGTTTGGGGGTAGGTGATTAAAAATTGACTTTCCTCTTAGAAACGCCCTGATAACTCCACTCATCATCAATATACAGTAAGCCACCGAATACTGATTGAGAGTGAAAGATTAGCAAACTCAATTGATCACACTGACAAGACGTTTGAACACAAGTCCATGACTCATCGGATAACTCTGCTCCAGCCAAAATGAAATTCTTCATAACACTGATGATCTTGCCTCAATTTTAAAATTCGAGCAAGGTCTAATCAACTAATTTAAAACACAATAGATTTGAAGTGAAGATGGCTCCAGGAAAATGTGTCTTCATTAATGTCTTTTAATTAACTTTTCTGACAATACCTTGTGCGAGACAACTGGATGCAAGAGGGAATGTCTTACGAAATTTTGCTTTACATTTGTGCTTTCAAATTGGACATAAATTAATTCCAGCTAAAAGTAGCAGAAACAATAATTTCTAAGAATTGTGAACGAAACAAGAGAACAATGCAAGTAAATTAGTAAAGTTAAAAAGGAGGATAGAGCAATAGAGCACTGAATTGAGTCCTCTTCAAGACATCATATTTAGGCGCTCAAGTTAGGGATACAGCTTGAGAAAAATAATGTTTGCATTGAAGAGAAGAAAAAGGATTTCGTGAGACACAAATTTACGAAGATGTGAGACTTGGAGTAAACTGGGACTTCACGATCTACGAGAGGTTACCCACACAAAATTCTATTGCACATACCTGTCACAATGTCATGCAATCCACTGTGTCGTATGGGAAAAAAAGAAATCACTCTTACGAGACAGTAAAAGCGAAGTATCTCGATAAATAATAGAAAGCACTGCAGAAAAAGATTGATAATTTTGCAGGAAAACACAACAGATTGTTGAGTACACTTACACTAGAGTTCTCTCATGAGAAGGGCGTTTTCTAACCTCAAACTGCCTCAAAGAGAAAGTAAATAAACAAAAAAATAAACAACAGTCCCTCCCCCCCTTCCTTCCCCCTCCACACCATTGGTGATGGTCGGTGCAGGGCGGTGCGGTGGTAGCTGAAATTCGTGGGTGAACAATGTTTACAATTTTTTTTATCATTATCATTCTTATCGCAAAACCGCTTCTCATCCGCAGCCGCACTTTAGAATCATCTCGCCACCCGTGAAAGCTCAAGCCGAAACTAATTTGTCAAGTACCGTGATTAATTTTGCACGTGGTGCTGAAGACGCGGTTTCTTCAGTATTAGCATAGTCATTTGCATTTACTTCTAAGCCGACTTTGCATTTACATTGAGAGTTCGTGAGTATCTCTTTGTACCGTGATTTCTCGCTTATCCGCACTTAAAAGCTCGCCTTTCTCAATTCTCACCATGCTCTCTGTTAGTTTTGTAAATTACCCATAAGTTCTAATCGCTTGCAATACTCTAAATCTTAGTTTTTCAATTGTTTTCGAATTTTATTCGTTCTAAACTTTGAATCATGTGGAACACCAAGAGGCTGTTTTTGTTCATTGGTTTGTTGCCAGCTCACTCCATTTATGTTTTGTTCTTACTATTATTATGCTTTCTCTTCATACTTTCACTCTTTATTTCTCTCAATCTTTTTATTTCTCTACACCAATGAGATGTTCCGATGGTCAAAGTTGCAAGACTTCTATTTTGATTATCATGGCTTTTAGTGTCTCAGCTGTCGTTTTACTTATGGAAGCTTAATCAATGAACATATGTTCCAAATTTTCATGGAGTTTACGATCCAGAGGATCAAGGCAAATTTCAAGACATCATGGTTTTTCTTTTAAGGGATGTGGTAGTAGTAAAAGTACGTTTATCTTAAAACGGTGCCTTAGCAACTTTGGCCGAGGGATGCAAAAAGTTCTCGCCCTTCTCATTTTTCAGATTACCCTCCCCATTTTTTAAACCCCTTTTTTCTCGGAAATTTCGAAGGGACAACCTTTTCATAGCTTTTTGCGCACAAATTGTCATTAATTTGGAAAGAACATGCTATTTTTACTGTGATTTTACTTTTATAATGGCAATTTTCCCAGTCTCTCTACTTTACAACCGGTTTAGGGGCCGTCCCATTCTTGCATGCGACCAATTGTGACCCACCCAGTTGCATCATCAAGAAATTTTTGCACCCCTGCTATGACCATTTACATCTCTGTAGTTAGCTTACAGGATTTGTTTAAAAAAAGGAACAAAGTTTTGAAGGTAGTAGTACTGAACAAGAACTTATAATTTATAAGATCGGAAGAAAAATAATAAGGAGAGTGAGGGGGGAGTTTTGAAGGAATGAAATGCCATAAGAAATTGGGAATATTGGAAAATGAGATGTGTGTTTTGTTACTCTCTCCATTGCTATGCCGCATAGTTTTCATCGTAGAGGCTGTTTTGCACATTAAATTCGGAAAGGTTATGCAGACTGCCTCTGCAGACTGCTTTACAGATTAGCCATACTTGATACATTTTCAGATCTAGAAACATAACAGTAAGTAGATTGATAATATGTCATGAATATTGGTTGTAATTGGTGTATTTTCGATTTCAAAATTCCGAACTTACTGAGATGCTAATGTTGGAGCTCAACTTCAATATGATCTCTCACTGTAGGATTGACACTCATAATCAGAGCAACAACTTGAAGGTATCTGGTATTTTCTTTGGCAAGTTTATAATTTTTAGTCAAATACTTTGCTTATAACTCTGAGAATGAAGAGAGTGCACTGTAAGGCTTGGTTCTGGGTATATTGCTTTTTCGGTTGTATTTACACTAATGATCTGCATTGTACTATAAAGTCAATAAAGGCTACTTATGTTTACAGATGATACCTCCAAGCTTTACTGTAGAGTCACATGGGAGGAGGTATGCAGGTGTGTTTCGACCATCGTTAATTTATCCATAATGTTAATAACAGTATATTTCTATTTTTTGGCAACTAAAATGAATAAGTTAAGCAGTCCATTAATGACCTGATGTCATGAGTCTACAGTGAATATTGAAATTGAGTTCCACTTGTATCTGGCAGCCTCAGAGTTAAAAAATCTAAAATAAGGATCACCCTGTACAGTGTACCCAGCAAGCATTCAGAAAGCGCTGAAGCCTCTCATTATGAAACGCCTCAGTTTCCTGTATGTGTCTAGCCACTTAACAGTAACTGTTGTTTTGCAAATGACGCGCAATTTTAACTTTAGGAACTGTTCCTTTTTGCCTTTGTATGTTTTCTATGCCCTCTAATTTAAGTACATTATTTTCCACAATACATCTTTAGACAGGGTTTGAACTATAAAAAAGGTAACATAATTTCTCTTCAAACCCTATGGGACGAAAAATTCACACATCCAGAAAACAAGTCTCTGCCTGCTTGCAAAGTTCCTCAGGAAAATCCATCATCAATTATTAGTGTGGTCATCAACTCTTCAATTATTACTTGAGCTTGAATTTCCCTCCTTTCAAGAGTAATCACTGGCATGCTTCATTTTTTTTTTTTTTTTAATTATGCCTCCTCATTAACTAATAAATGAAGTTCATTCGCTTCAGTGACTGACCTCCTAGAATTTCCATAATAACCCCCTCATTAATGTGCTTGTTATTTTGATTTCAGGTGCAGTTTCTATTCTGATAGCAGCAGTTGTAGTGTTTCAAGTGATCAAAAAAGATAACACGATGACTGGAAGTATTGGAGCTTTGAGCCCGGGTGATCCCAGTTCATTTTCTAGACCTGGTAATTTTACCTTCACTCTCAGATTTTAAAATTAATTAATCTGTGATTTTTAGCAGGTTTCTAATTTGCACACCCCTATTTCCTATATCTAAAGTTTTTGTTATTTGATTTTTTTCATTTTTGTATTTAGCCAAAAAATATATTACGGATGCAGAAAATTCCCAAATACTGACAGTTCATGATCTGAACTATACTGACGATCCAATCCGTTATGTCTCTTGGTCATATTTCAATTTGCCTCAAGGGCCAATTGGCCGATTTAAGGGGAAAAGGCCCTATTTTACAAAAAAATATGCAATCATCCTCATGTCTTTAAAGTAAGTATTGAGCTAAGAAAGAAAAAAAAAAATGTATTGCCTTCAGAGAATACACTAAAAGTCAAAATTTCTTAAAGTTTTCCTTACGTTTGCCGTGATCCAAGAATTGCAAGATTGAGCACTTTTTGCAGCCCTGAAATACATGAGCACTCAAGCACTTCAACTGAGAATCTGAATTCTCACAAGTATTCAAATAAATAAGCTTTGAGTTATCATCAAATAAAATTTCATCGGTTGTCTTATCCATGTTAATTTTATCTCGTTCAAGAAGTCCTTGCCATTTAATAATTTCATTTAAAAAGATAAAATCTGATTAATGTGTCATCAACTTGCTCTTATAATTTTTCTCTCAAAATGAACACAACCTTTTCTAAATTTTGTTTTTGTTTTGGTTTTTTTTCTCCTCAGAACAAGTAGCTGTGAATCATGTCCACTTGAACCTAAAAGTTGACTTTGAAAAGAAAATTTTAGTCGGGGAAGCAATCCTTAATATCACGCAGCTTGATACGTCTGTTTCTTCCCTGGTACGTTGTCCTTCATGGCTTAGTTTTATTAAAGTTAACTAACGGAATGGAATAGCCAAAACAACAGTTGATAAGAAATTGCTTCTCGATTGTTTCCAACGAGGAGTTTTTTTGTTTCTGTTTTTTCAATCGCAGTAGAGGTAAGGAAGCTCAGAGAAAAATGAAGCGGCTAAGATTTTAAAACGTCTTCAGTGGCCTCCTGCTTGCAATTAAAAAACCGCCTCAGAAAATATAATTAAAAAAAATTCACAAGTGAGGAGGCAAAACCTCGGATTAGAGGACAAACGGAATATTCTATTTTTTTGTCTGAAACCATTTAAACATTTCTTAGTTTTTAAGATGCTTGTCTGGAAATATAAATTCAAAATCTGAATTTTATGCATGTAGCTTGACAGACTTAATTTACATACAAAAATGACCAAAAGATACCAAGTACCAAAAGATATGTCTGAAGGATGTGATGATCAGCCGTCATGGCAAAATCAGGTTTTTCTTAGCCCAAAAGGGGAATATAGGTTTGAAGCACTATGTATACTTTCCTCATAAAAGGAGTTTCTCATCTCAAATTGTTTTTAATTTAATTAACTCTAAAACATTACATAAGGAGAGCATCTAAAAACCCTACTTCATTTCTGTGATCTCACACTTTTAAAACTAAGAATGTAATCTCTCAATGTGTTTTTGTTCTTCAGATATTGGATTCCAATGATTTGAAAATTAGTAACGTGATTGATAACAACAGTGGAGCTAAGCTGAAGTACACTGTCTCCGAACCTGTGATAACATTAGGTAGTAAGTTGGAAATAGAGCTTCCTGTCCTTCCTGACAACAAGTAAGTGGCTCTTAAATCTCTTAAGAAAATTTTATTCTTTATTATCCGAATATCAGGCTCCCCCTTTGGCCTCTATGTGGTCTGACCGTGGTAGAAGAGTGACACCCTCTGTCAAAAAATAACAGGACTAAGTAATGAAAATATTGCCACCAGGCCTCATGATAAGATATCTTTAGTGCTCGAATTCGACAGGTGCCATGGCCCAAAATGCGCTTAAATGTTTCTTATTTGCATGTGAATAATCGATTCAGTGGCCGAAGTTGGTGTCTAAATATCTGCAGCTAGCTAGCTGAAAACTCAGGGTCCCAGACACACTTTTTTTTTTATTGATAGAATATGTATTAGAAGGCTCTAAAATTATTATTCAATTGGGTAAAAAAATCTCTAAAAATGTCTAATTAGTAGAAAAAGTTTGATTCCCTGGTGTCGCAAGATATCTGGTTTCCCATCGCAAATTATTTAAAATAGCTATTTCAGCTCCTAAAAAAACCACAATGGCCTCCTTAATATTGATCAAGCCAGCCAAATTGGTAACTTTCTTGATAAGACTCAAACTCTGGATATCTTATCATTTAAGATTTGTCTCAGAGTGGCCCGATGAATATACATCTCATTCAAGGCAACAGGGTAACAATTTGTTCATTCTTTTAGTATCTTTGTAAGATTCTAGGTGGCGGTAGCCACCCTGGCCCAATCCAAAAAACTCCCCCTAAAAAATGACAAGACCAAATGATTTAAACAAGAAATAATTTACTTTAGTAGTACAGATGAATATTGCTTCTATTAACTTCCTTATATTCTTTTTCTTTTGCCATCTTCTTTCCTATCCGTTAATTTGCTTTACTAATCATGCATTTTTACTTTATCTTCGATCTTTCAGAGGAACAATTCTAATTGAGTACTCTACAAGTTCCTCAGCAAGTGGACTACAATGGCTTTCTCCTGCAGAAACTGTAGGAAAAGTGCACCCGTACCTATTCAGTCAGTGTCAGGTAGTGCCTTGTTTAATCTTTAATCCTAACTGATCAAGTTTCAACTATAAGTTATGAGCCTTGAACATGTATAAATCTACGACGACTGCTAGTCTCTCAGAAAAGTCCAATGTTAGTGACCGCATCCTAGTCAAAAGTGGCTGGTGTGGCAGGCAACATATTAAACCTTCATACCTCTATTTGGTTTGATATTTTCAGGCGTTCTTTGTGCTAAGTATCCCTGCCAATTAGCTCTATTTTGATTTTTTCACTATTGAGGTCTCTTTTGGCTGATAACAAATCTGTTTAAAGGGATGTGCAGAAGCCATATCACTTTCAAATACAAATCAGTGTATGTTCCTCTACTCTTAAGTCAAGTCTGTTTGACTATCAGTTAGGTTTTTGGCATCCAAGAGGATTCAAGTGCATTATGAAACTCTTGTATAAATGGTGTACAAGAATGAGGATTGATGCCTAATGGTCAAAGCGGATTACAAAAAATGTTAATGCTCATAACTTACAAGCCAATTTACTACTTTCGATGCAATTTTGGGTACATTTCGTGAGTTTTAATATTGGTACTGTCCCCCTCCTTTTAATATTTAGATGTTAGTGCTTTTGAAAATATAAATTAATATGATCATAGCGAATCTGGAGTTTTCTGAAATAATGTTTGTGAAGTATAGTAAAACCCTGAATATTCAGAATCGCCTTGACCAGGGTATTCAGCAGGCAGGCTTTGACATCAATTTTCCTTACTTTTGCCGATGAAGTGCCCTCTGCAAAAAAAGAAGAGAAGAAAAGAGTGAAGTCCCGCTACTCTTTTAAAAAAGAAAAGTACAAAAAGGTAAGAATAAAGAGTATGTTGTGGTAAAATTGCAGCTCTTCAGTTACTGACGGGTATTTCCCCTGTCCTAGCTTCAACCAGAGTTCTTGCTTATCCAGGATGAGCTTGGTCTCGTTTTTTCTTCAAATAATCAGTTTTATCACAGTTCACTCCCTGATACCATCCAAGATACTCAAGAACTCAAGATTCAGTGCTCACAAGTACGGTTAAGAATCGAAATCCAGGATGCGTTCATACATTTCAGGTGTAAGTAGGTGTAGTCACGGCCAATGATGACCCCTAAAGTGTTGAGATACAACCCAGATTTTCATTTTTGCAAGTAGTCTGTTCAAATTGTTTTCTTCTACAAACATTAGCACACCCTCAGCCCTCTATTTTTATTCTAATGATTTCGTCTCTTTTGTCCTCTGTAGCCTTCGCATTGCAGGTCGATTGCTCCTCTTCAAGACTCCCCGTCCATAAAAATCACCTATTCTGCCGAGGTAAGTTGTGTCAATTATGTTTCATTTCCTGTCAAAGACAAAATAATGAATATCAATGGCTATAATGCGAAACTGCATTTTTCCCTTTGCGATGCTGCAGACTTTTTGCCATATTTTATTTCCTCTTTTAAAAACTAGTTGACACAATCTCTTGAAAATTTTCTTGATTTTTCTTCTCTGGGGCAAAATATTCTACATGAATTTAAAGCTATAAAGTTGACTTCTTTCTCGGCGAAAAAATAACACAGGAGCGGAAATTTTGAAACATTGCAATTAAGATACGAAGTTTTACTTTTAGGCCGTCTATTTTACTTCACATACATTGCATACCGCTCTCCTCCTTTTAGAGCCTTGTTCTCTTCAACCACTTGCATAATGTTTCAGTATCAGCAGGAAATGTGCCCTGTCCTTCGTAGATGGGTGCACGTTTATCTTAAATAATATGGTATAAGGTATAACTTGTAAAAACCCAACTTATGGAAGAAATTATCTATAAGCAGAAGCTTTTATCTCATGAGTTATGATCCAATTATTGCCTTCTTTTACAGTGAACAGTAAGTTGTTAAACTATTTGATCCGCATTATTTTCAGCTAACTGTCCCAACCAATTTAACTGCACTGATGAGCGCTTTACCAGATGGAGAACCTAAAGCTGTGAGTGACAGCTTAAGAAAGTTTTCATTCAAGCAACCAGTACCCATTCCATCCTATCTCATTGCTATTGCAGTCGGTAATTTGGAGTCAAGAGAAGTTGGGCCGCGGTCTAAAGTATGGAGTGAGCCAGAGATGATTGAAGCCTCTGCTTACGAATTTGTCGAAGTAAGTAACAGAAGACTAGGATAGTATTACTACTGATTCTTTCTTTTAAAATTGGGGAATTTGTGCAAAAATGATGGACTGATTTTTAATAGGATGCTCTCTTATTGGAATAAATTATACACGTGCATATTTTCATTCCTTTGGTGTCTCAGGAAATAGGAATAATTTTATAGAATAGAATTTCGAATTGCCCCAACTGCTGGCCATAGCTCGTTATGCTTATATTTTAGAGGGGATCGTTAGACTGTACTGCTTTGCCAAGGAAAAACGCTGTATGAGCCTTCAAACACTGCCTAATTTATTTTGCTAAAATACGAATTTTCAGAGAAATCTGTAAATAATTTTCCTCCAATTTTTCAGAGAATACTGTAAATACTTTTCCTCCAATTTTTCAGAGAAATCTGTAAATAATTTTCCTCCAATTTTTCAGAGAATTTCGTTTGCTATTAGAGCTAAATTACCTGAAAACTCAAAGAGAAAATACTCATAACGCTCTTGAAAAATAAGCATTTCATTGGAGGAATTTTGGCAACTCTGGAATGTTTGTAGAGCGTTTTTCCTTAGCTTGGCAGAGCTGAATCATAAGAGGTGAGAAAAAGCAGGAACGGACTTTAGATAAGGAACAGAACTTCCCAGCATCCCATAAATGAAATTTTGCTTATTTTATCAGTATTTTGTGGCATATATGTAACTTTTCAAAAAATAGCTGAGAGAAAATTATTTTTCATCCTCATACCCACATTGAAATTTTTGCTTTCCTCCAGACGGACAAATTTTTGAAAACTGCCGAAGATATTTGTGGGCCGTATGTATGGAGCATCTATGATCTTCTGGTCTTACCTCCTTCGTTTCCTTTTGGAGGCATGGAAAATCCTTGTCTAACATTCGTTACACCTACATTGTTGGTAAGTATCATTAAAGTGTCAAAGCACCCCAAGCAATCCAGGAGGGTCGCAGAAAGAGGGTCTCAACTAGAAAATCGTGTTATAAGAAAACCGCGGTTAAAGTTTTAATCACCAAATTTTGGCTGCTGATAGTTATCAGTGCACATCTCGAATGAAGATTGGACTGAGTTAAGCAGAAAGGAACCAACCCACATTTTGGAAAAAATTGAGCAATGAGTGATTTTGAACTCAACCACTGCTCTACTATCTATCACCAAAAATTCAAAGTTTTTGTCGGAGCAAATTTTGCAGAAATTGAACTTGAAGTTTATCTTTTACATTGAGTCTTATGCAGGAGCCAAACTTTCAACCTCTTTTTCTCGGTTCGATCCTGATGTGGCTTGGTTCCTTTCTGTTTAACTCCGTCCGATTAATGTCTGGTAGGAGAAAAACCAGTGTTTAGCGAAAGTTGATAATCATCAAGAGCTGTGCAAGACATTTTTCCAAAATTTCGGTTGTGAGTCCTTTCTCGGAGATCAAGCGGTAAAACAGAAATAAAGTATGGTCACCTCTCCTAAATGACAACATGTAATACAAAGAGATTGTCGGTCGTCTAAAAAATACAAGCAACTTCTCAAAATTTCCATTTAAAGTCACAATTTCTGAAAAGATAAGAGAAAAAATGTTTCTTCTTCTTATCTGAATGGGAAACTGCTTACCTGGAGGTGGAATTATCTCTGGAATTGGCAAGCTTTTCATGTAAGGTTTTTCTCCTTTCCCTCTTTTTCAGGCAGGTGACCGGTCTTTGGTCAGTGTGGTTGCTCATGAAATAGCTCACAGTTGGACTGGAAATCTGGTAACGCAAAAGAACTTTGAGCATTTCTGGTTAAATGAAGGATTCACCATGTTTGTTGAGCGAAAAATTTTGGGGCGAATCGGTAACGAAGCTGAACGACAGTTTTCAGCACTTAGGGGACTGGATGCCCTCCGCCAGTCGGTCAGTTTTACTCTATATTTTTCAATTTTTTTTTCATTTAACAAGTCTAAAATCCACACCATCATATTCTCAGTACCTGCTAGATTTTTTTTTCTTTTATTAATCAATGTTACCAGGGACTGATTGGTATAAAGCCGTCTTACAATATCAGGTGTGTGCAACTTCATGTCCAAAGAAGTCAAAAAACTTTTTGACAATGCACTCTCTCATTCTTCAAAGTTTTCTTGTTTAAGTGAGCAAAGTGAAGTTGCAATTTTGTACAAATATCCAAAATTTGTTGTTGTTTTTTAAGGGTTGTTGTCACTGGAAGCCAGAGTTTTAGAAAATGCTCATTTTTGGTTGATTACAGCAATTTGTAGTATAAACCCCTCAAGGGGCCTGAAGAATATGTATGAAATGAATACTCTCACTTTAATCTAATAACTTTGGAAAACTAGTATATAAGGAAATATCGCTGTAAACAAGACGTGCCGAAACTGAGGCAAATACTCAGGTTTTGCTGGTGTCAGAATTTTAGGTACCCAGCCCAAAGTGACCAAGAGTAAAGATGGCACTTTAAATTGAAACTTTTTTTTATCATGTTCTCTGCAACTTAATATTAGCATACCATTATCAACTAATTTTCAATTCTGTGATTGCAGGTAGAGGACCTTGGACCAACCAGCCCTTTCACCAAGTTGGTTGTTGACTTAAAAGGCGTGGATCCTGATGATGCGTTCTCCACAGTTCCCTACGAGAAAGGCCACACTTTTTTGTTTTATTTGGAGAGTATCCTGGGTGGGCCTTGTAAGTGAATTTTTTAATTCCCATCGAATATTAGAAAAATCAGTTGAACAATTTTCCTAGGGATGCCTTCCAGTTCATGTCATAAGTATATTAAGCAAAGCTGATGGAGTTATGGAAGCCTTTAAGCGAGTGTTGTCAAGAGAATTTTCATGAAATTCTGATCAAGAGAATATCGTACGAAAGTCGTCTCAAAATATCTGAGACTGGTGCTTCAACTTTTGAACCCAAGCAGCTACACAGCTGATTGTGATTGCTTTCAAAAGACAACTCATTTTCTATCAATTTACACAAACTTTACTGTGTTTGCTCAAAAATTTGCCAAGTTATGAATATTTAGAAAAATTTCTGTTTTACAACCCTTACCGTGTTCAGTATGGATTTTTTCTCCCGGATGAAGCTCTCCAAACACCACTCTTCGAAACTGTACCGACTGAATAAACTTTGAGTATTTTTTAGAGCTGTCAGATTTTGTCAGCGCCACAAGAAGTACAGAACTGTAGTTGTTGATTTCTCTCACAAGAAGTTTTGTAGATAGGAAATGTTTACTTCTTATTTATGTATTACAAACTTTAACAGGAATAAATAGATCAAATAGAGGAAAAGTAGTTGAAATCTTTAGAACACCACTGAAAGAATAACAACGCTTCAGCCATAGAAAAAAGATGGAACAAAATTTTAGAATACTTTAATGTACAAAACGGAAATGTAGAAAATCGTCAACATTTTTTAGTGTCACTTGCCAATTTTTTGCAGAAAGGTTGTAGGTCACCAATTTAAGTAAGAATATTTTTTTTAAATTAAGAGATTTTTAAATTTTCTATCTTTAAGGTTTTTTTGATATTACCAATATGATGAGGGATATGAGCCCCAACTGGACTATTTTTTAGCTCTTTATAACACTAGCAATTGATATTTTTCTTGCTGTTCAAGAAAACTGACCGTGATGCTATTTCTAATTGCAGCTCAGTTTGAACCATTTCTCAAGGCATATCTGGATAAATACAAGTACAAATCTATTGTCACAGACGACTTTCAAGACTTTCTCAATCAGTATTTTGCAGGAAATCCAGCTCTGAAGCAGATAAACTGGGATGAGTGGTTGTACTCTGTTGGCATGCCAAAAATCATTCCCGAGTAAGTTGTTTCAATTTTTTAAGTTTGTTTGTTGTGCTCCAAGACTGAAAGAAGTAGAAAAAACATGTTTTTTTTCCTTTAAGGCTAGAAAAATTATTTAGAGCAAGAAGTTCTCCTGAAACTTAGTATTTTCTAGAATGCAACAGAAAGCTCTCCAAGCTCTATTTCCGTTGGGGAGCTGTATCACATGAAAGTGCCAAAGAAGAAACCAAGGGTGTCACTACCGCAGTGGATGACATCAAAAACCGTGTTTTCCAAAGCGCAATATTTCGATTAATATGTAGAAAGTTGCTGTTTGGACAGATCTTAATATTTTTAGCCTGTCTACATCTACAAAAGTAAAGAATCAAAACCCGATTCTGTGACTAGCACAACCGACGCATTTTCTGCACCCCTGCAGATAAGTCATATTGGTTTCACAACTTGACTCTAAACTGAAAAGGGCACCTTTCATGTGATACAGCTCTCCATTTAAAAACTAACAACGAAAGTGCCTCTACTCATTTAACACATGGAACTTGAAAAGTAGGAAGGTGAACATGTTGGATAAATGGTGTTTCTTATTTTGCTTGTTTTTAACTTTAAAAAAACTGCGAAACATGACAGGGGTCTTTTTAAGTTTTGTTAAGAGTTGTGAAGCCAAAGTATCTTATCTGCATCAAATAGTGTCTTTACCATAGCCAACTTTTTAAAGCAAGAAGCTCAAGAAAGAGTAAAATTCTGCAAATTGTGAAGCAAGGAGAAAATTTTAAACTTTTGCAATATGCTTATTACGATTTTTGAGCCATTTGTCCCAGTAGACTAAATGAACTTTTTAAGAAGAGTTCCTAATCCTCCGAAAACTTGTGAAGAAGGTTTGTCAAAGGACCATACAAATTTATTGATAGTAGAAAAAAATTAAAATGAATTCAGTCCCTCTCCTTTAGTTTTGTTCTATGTCATCTTTTTTGTATATATGCTTTCTGTAAGACCATGACTCAAATTGTATCTCATTCTTTTACTTACGCTTTCTGTAAGACCATGACTCAAATTGTATCTCATTCTTTTACTTTTTTTCAGCTACGATAAATCATTATCCAAAGCCAGCACTGATCTAGCAGAAAAATGGATAGAGTGGGATGAATCCAAACCTTGTCCTTTTGTGTCAGAAGATTTGAAATCTTTCTCATACGGACAAACTGTTACGTTCTTAAATACTCTTCTCAATTCAAACCGTTTCTCAGTGTCGAAAGTCAAAAAGATGGAAGATGTTTATGCATTAAGTAGTGTCAAGAATGCTGAGATTAAATTTAGGTAATTACGAGTTTTTAATTCCTAACAGTGTCTAAAAGTACTCCATATATTTTTTATTCTCATTCATCAATCATATTCTCTTTGAAAAATGAAGTTTTGAGCTTTACTCGGAATAATTTAAAAACATTGTAAAGACAAGGAACAGATATTTCAATATTAGATGTAGATATGTCACGTAAATGTCATGATAGCGGAACTCTCATCACCATACCCCTGCTCTTATTTTGGGGACTTTAACCTTGGACAGGGTGTCCTCAAACTTTGCAGGAATAAAGTTCTGTGACTTCACTGGGTTTTTCCTGACCAAAACGATCAAAGTTCCCCAAAATTTCACACTGACAATTTGTGTGCAAAGAACGACAAATGAAAAAAATTTCTCAATAATTTCCTGGCAAATAAGAGAAACAAGTGAACCTTTCTTCTTCAGGTATGAATTGTTCAATTGAATGAAATCGCGATTTTCTATTTTGAAAATAATTCCTCTGTTCGTGCCGACTCAGAGTGTAACTGAGGGTATTGAACCCCGAATCAGACTAAGACTCATTTAAATTGTTTAGACAGCGCTGAAATTTTTTCAGATTTCAAGTTTCAAGTTTTTCCAGATTTTCATTATTCATCATGAAATTCCTTGACTTTTTCCTGGCCTGGTGAATTTCCCTGATAATTCCTAGATTTTCAAGACCTGTAGACATACTATCATAACTTCAAAATTTTAAAACAAATATCTCTTTCCTTTTAGTTTTTTTTTTTTTTTTTTTTTTTTTAATTAGCTTTTAATAAAACGAACGCAGAGGAAAGTAATTAGTCAAAACAAGACCGATTTAAATTCTAAGAATGCCTATTTTCCCTAAATTTGACATAAAACTATTAATTTATTTTTTAAATTTTCAGGTGGTTAAGACTGTGCATCAAAAATCACTGGGAAGAGCAAGTAGACGCAGCTTTGAAGTTTATCACAGACCAAGGAAGAATGAAATACGTACGCCCGATCTACAGGTACCTACACTGTGTTATGTTTTCCACTGCAGTTGATATCTCACTCAAAAATTTTCATGATGGTCCTTTATTTCATTTTTGTGAACTCTCAATTTTTAATTTGAAGTAAATCCTTTGAAGAAAATCCAGGTTCCACACCTTTTTGTTATCAATCGTTTCTGTTTTTCAATACTTGAAAAAGTTTCCATAAAAATAGAGCTGCAAATTTCCTCATGGCTTCTCGTATGCTTTTCAGCAGTGCATCCATCTTCTACAATCATAAGAGGTCATTCATCATATGAAATAATTACCTAGGTACATATTGATTGTGAAACCCTCAAACCACATGTCTTGGTTTGCGATGTTGCAGACTTCGTGTCATATTTTATTTTTAAATCAGAAAACTACTCAACATTGATTCGTAAAAATGTTCATAATTTTTTTTCTCTATGCGAAGAAAATTCTGAGAAATCTTGAAGGAATGATATTAATTTTTTCTCCTGTATATAAATAGAATAAGAGTGGAGATTGTTGAACACCGCCAACGAGTAACGTCGTTTGGGAGTTTCACTGTCGATAAGTATACGGGAAGATTCTGACATGTATTCAGAGAAAATTTGTACCTATTGCTTTCAAATTCTTTGTAATTATAAGTTTTTGGGCTGATGACTGAAGAGATCCTATGTTCTCACCAATATTAATAACCTGTCTTTCTATTTTGAATACTTGATTTCTTTTTTCTTAAAATAGAATGTTTTACTTTTTCAGAGATCTTTATGCCTGGGAAGAAGTGAGAGATAGAGCTATCAAAAATTTCCTTGCTAATCGGCAATATATGATGCACGTATCTGCGTTTACTGTGGCCAAAGACCTACACCTAAGAGAATGAAAATCTTCATTCTCTTGCCCATTCTTTGGCCTTCCGGAAAAAATTAAAACCAGTGCTGTTATGTGATGGACTGATGAACATCACCTTACATCAAAGAAACAATCTGCTAGAATAATGTTGTTTCGTTATATTAAAGAAGGTACATAGGAACCTTTGATCAAATTTTGCTCTTTTTATACTTGTTGATTATAAAATGAATTTTTAAGGAAATCGAAAAATTCAGTTCAAGTTGTGAATTTTATATTTCCCGGTTTTTCTTTCATGCTGAATAAAAAACTTAATGCATTAATGGCATCAATTACTCCGTTTTTGCCTTATACCTTTTCTTGGTACACTGGAAAAAAAAAAACACATTGGATCTAGAGTCCAGACTCTTGAAAACATTGACAAGAAAAAATACAATTCAATCAGATTGAAACTTAAATCAAAAGGGAATCGGCTCAAATTAGGAGGCTTGATTCTTGATTTAAGCAAAAATCCGATTGAATCAAGAGTATTTTTTCTTGTCGATGTTTTTAAGAGTCTGGACTCTAGATCCAATGTGTTTTTTTTTTTTTTTTCCCAGTGTATAGTTTGTAGTACAAGTACTCATCGAGTTATTATTGACACTCGCCCTCCCGATTTTTGTTTAAATGAGACCTGTAACGAGCCAACCAGGTAAAAGCAAAAAGAAGGCTTTTGAGTTCCTGTTAAGAGAAAATGATGTGCTGGGCTATGTAATCACTTTGCTTCAGAATTTATGAAACCTTTTAAACTTACAAATGACATGGTAATTTGGGCAGTACATAGTAAATTTGCCATCAATGATGCGGAGGTCAGAAAAAGCTTTATTTTCTAGCTTTAAAGTCAAGACGACAACTTTCAAAGCGTATTGATACCAGGCTCTTTACAGTGTTTCTTTTATGGGACCGTCGTTTTTTTTGTTGCACCAATATTCTGCGCGCAGGTCAAAGATACATAGAAAGGTCAATGGAGAGCTGAGAGTATGATGGAGACGCTTTCTTTACAATATTTATTTATCGTTTATAGTGTCATAGGAAAAAAAACCCGTGGAATTTCCTTTTGGAGCTGACCTTGTACTTGAGTTAATGCTCAAATTGGAAAAGGCAAACACCTGGCAAAAAGTATCATCTAAACTAAAAGCTCCGAGACCTCCTAATTTTGCGTAACTGGTAACGCTTAGTTCCAGTGTTCTATCGGACCGAATTTCATGATTTTTGCGGCTATCGACGGACAATTGTTTCTAGATGAGCCCGCTCTAATCAAATTTTCAAAATATGACCTAGGTTTTTTATAATACGTGGTAAAGTTGCGAATTTTCCCATTTAAACAATGTAAATTTATATGTTTTGTCATATTTCGTTTGAGCGTTCTACCGGGCCGATTTCCATGATTTTTGCAGTTATCGACAGGTGATAGACTCTAGATGAGCCTGCTCTGATCATATTTCGGAAATAGGACCCAGGTTTTTTTACAATTAAGTTATATAAGTGAGCGAATTTACAGAATGCTCCGCAACCTGCTGCTGCTATGCGCAGAAGGTTGCGCAGTGGCCGAGGAGGCTGCGCATCAGCTCTACTTATCAACACAAGATTCGCCTGAGGCATCTCATGATGAGCGGTGGCCGAGTCGTCGAAGACGTCGGATGCGCCCACATGTTTAATGATGTGGGTTCGATTCCTGACTCCTCAGCTTTCTTAGTTTTGACCTGATTATTATTATTCGTTGTTTTACTGCAATGTTTCAGTAAACAGTCATTGCAGAACGCGTCCTTTTGACTTCCAAATTTTTTTTTTCTTTACTCATCAAAAAACAAAAATTATTTCATTCTAAAAGTAAAGTATACCTCATATCGTATTTTTTTAGGGGAAAAATAAAACCAACATTGATAGGAGGGTAAAAATAGGGCTACGAAGCGGCCAATTGATGGCGCGGAGCACCTTCAGGGGGTTGGGCGTAGCGACCAGGGGGCGTAGCCTCCTAGTAAAAGATAAGCTGTAAAGAGCCTGATATCAATACCACTACCACTGATTTCGTATACCAGTTGAAAAAAAGTCCTCATCTTGACTTTGAAGCTCCCTCAGGTCTGGACTGATCAGGGTTGCCACAGAATTTAGAAAATGAAATTCCCTGACATTTCCCTGATTTCCTTGACACATTTTGGTGGAATTCCCTGACAATTGAAGATGTGACGGATGGTCACGAAGGCGTAATTGAAAATGGTTTTCAGGCAAAATTTGTTGTTCGAAACCTCAAACCTATTCTAGAAAGCAAATTAAGGTGATTTAACAAATTTTCCTTGATATTTTCGTCATTTTCCCTGAAATTTCCCGGTTTTCCCTGACTTTAAAATTTCCTGACATTTCCCGGTTTTCTCTGATGTGGTAACCCTGACTGATTGGGAACTTTCCAAACGTTGAACAAATCTTAACTTTCAATGACAGAAATAATATTTAAAAAAGCACAAAAAGGCGTAAAAAATGATTCATAAAAATTCGAACGAAAAATCATTTCTGGAGAGTCAATTTATTAAAAAAAGTAAAAAGAACATAACAGACTATTTTTTGAAAACTTAAAAAGAAAAAACACGAAAGGCACCACAATAACATTTGCCTTGTGAGAACTAGCAAATTTAGAACATTTTATTACCATTGAATAATCTACAGAAATGAGGAGAAAACACATATTCCTAAAGTAATTTAGACAAATTCTCAAAGAAATCTAAGAGCATAAAATAAAACCTATATCAAGGTCACGAGCAGCACAAGGATTCTTTCGCAGAAGCATGGGGGGAGGGGCAGGAAACGAGACGGGCGAATCAACGAAACCTGTTGAAAAATGTAAAAATGGGTTTTATAAATTACTTCTTGGAAGTAATGCGTGGATGCCCCTCCAACCACTTCCTAGATCAGCCCATAATCAAGGATAGTCTACGTCAACAAGCACAGATGACGTTTACTTATTAGGGCTCTCAGTTTAGGGTTTTGGTGCCACAGACCTCCCCTTAAAGAAGGTTACCTTTTCTTTGAAATCTTGAACTTACGATATTACTTTCTTACTTGCATTGTAAAAGTAGAATGATTTTACAGGGTTAAAAGACTCCTGAACAGATGTGAGTAAAAATTACTCATTTATAAATTAAAAAAAAAAAAAAAAAAAAAAAAAAAAAAAACCTGTCAAAAAGTGCATTTGCAAAGTTATTTACAGCTGAAAACTTGGCAAAATTTGAGAACTCTAATAAGTAACACTGTCCCTGACTACACAAACCATCCTTGACGCGACACTGTAAAGAAGCTCAACCATGGCTTTTATGCGTCTTGATATTATTTCTTAAATCTTTTTAAAGATATATTATGGACAAAAGGACTGAACAGTACAGAAATTGAATTTGCTCTGTCCTTGAATGATGATTTGTTGTAACGCAAAAACAGGCTAATAATATAGTTTGGAATGGAAAAAGTTTTTTAACATATGATGTGGTTCATTATTTTTGAAGGGTTGACAGGCGTAAAAGCAATGGTTGAATCAACTTCAGAGCGGAAAAAAAAATTACAAACGATATATATTTTTCACTAAGAGGAGAATAGGACACAAAATAATTCAATAGATTTAAACTAGGTACTGATAACGGAGGAGATATTTACGTAGCGAGTACTGAGGTACAATATATTTTCAACTTTAATTGATGACACAAAATATGATTCACGTACGGATTGCAAGTGAGTTTTAAGACTGATGCTCAATGGCTTATAAAACAGCTTTAAAGTAATGAGCCAGTGATACTGATTTTAAAAAAATATTTTCTGGACAACATTCATTTTCTGATTCAAAGTATAAGTCACATTTTGTACCGATACTGCATTGAGAAACACAATCAAATAGAGAGGATATAAATGCAATTTTCAGTGAAAAATTGAGAAAATACTGACAAGCTATGAGGCAGTTGCCATCTGAATTATTGTTTTACAGTTGTCAAATAGAAAAATGAGCCACCTTAGTTCTCCTGTGATAAAATTACTTAATAAAATAAAAATGACTTCTATGTTAAATAACAAGTGAAAAGTGACGAAAGAAGTAAAATGCTGGTAAGCAAGGAAGATGACAAAAGTAAACCATTGGTTTTAAGAAATGAAGGAAACAGAATGCTACCCCCCAAAAAAATATCGATCCACATGAGGGAGAAATCTTTAAAAATTGAAAAAAATTAATTCTGAGCGCCAAAATAACTTGGATATTAACTCGTTAAAGATATAGATTTAAGTCAACATAGGAATACTCAATACATAAACAAAAATCTGAATTAAAAACCAATGTGAAGAAAAGTCAGTACAGGAAAGAAGAGGAATTTTGAGATTAAAAAGGGAGTTTCTTCCCCGAGTTATTCATACTTTTCATTCATACGGTAGAAAAGAAACAGACAAAAAAAATATGCTAGAGAAACATGAAGTTGTTGATCCAGTAAATCTCAAAAAACCAAAAGCAGCGGAAAGATACAAATTTACAGCAAAACATGGTACTTGCTTCAAGTTATCTAAATTTGTCACATTAACTCTCTAAAATGTTTTGAAAATCATTTTCGATGTTTTGGTTGAACCAAAGAACGAGTTATGAGCTGCATTGACCTCAAAATTTGTACTTCATCGATAGCTAAATGCGAAAAATGTGTACCTCAACTTCAGCGCTTATTTTGAAGAGATACCTATTCTGGAAAAAAAATTAATTTTTAGGAAACAAGAAAGAATACACAGGAGGCGGAAAAGGATTACTTTTCCGTCAAAAACTAAATTGCAAAAAAAATCCGACTCTAAACATTTTCACAGTGAGCGCTTTAATTGCGACGTTTAGAAATCTCCAATTATGTTTTACTTTCTTTAGGGAGAGCTAATCGAAACGCTTCCTTACGATTTTGGATGATTCTTTAGGAATAAGTGAAAAGAATAAAAAAAAAAAATATCAATAGAAACTGTCCGTTGATTTTCCTTAGAAAAAATAAAACATCAGCGGAGATTTATAAAGTAGCAATTTGAGAGACACATTGTTCCACTTGGGCAATCATAATGTAACATTCCCAACGGTTACTATGCAAAACAACAAAAGGTTTAAATTTAATATGACAGAGGAATAAGAATAGATGGAAAGCTTCCTTGAATGTAGTTGACAAAAAGCGAAGCATCATTTAACGATAGACAGTCATATCTCACAAAGTTAGACCATCACAATTGAACTTCATCTGTGATCCGATCTTGTAAAATCTCAAAAATTATGACTTATCTTTAATGGATGTTAAATGAAAAAATCAAACATTGAACAAAGTTTTAAAGACCGATATAATGATAAAGATTACTCAAATGGGGCATAAAACGAAAATAATAGGCAATAGATTATGAGGAAGATAAAATAAGCGTTCTTCTTGATAACACTGAAGGAAAAGAAAACAGATTTTTTTTTTTCTTAAGATAAATAGTTTCAGGCATAATGTAAATTTATGGAAATAAATAAACAAAACAACATCAGCTTTTAAAATTAGCAGTTACAAGAAAGAAATAGAACATCAGTTTGACTTTTCCATTACAGCGAGACAAACCATAAACAAACTTAGCAGTTGTATTTTAGACGGTTTGTCAGCAAAGCCCATATTTTAGCTTAATATGTTAAGAAAAAATAACCCTCTTTCTGTGGCTGGAAATATTTATGAGATCGTTTCAACACAGGCTCCTCGAGACAAAGCAAAATTCTGGGTTTTAGGTTGGGACCAGAATATTCTTGCTGCTAATGCGCAAGAGCCTGACCAATTAATAGTGTATCAAGTCAATCAGTTTGTCATAAGTTCTAGAAAGACTTACTTCTAATTGTTGAGATTAATGGATTTCTCTACAGAGGAAGCAGAAAACTGATATGTGGTAGAACTTATAGAAAAACAGCAACGACTTTTTCAAAATTTCTAATATTAATACATCATTTTCCATAAGAAATGTAATGAATAAAAAGACGGTTATTGCTTTATTTTAGACTTCATACAAAATGAGTATACCCACCTTTAAAACGAGACAGAATATTCACATTTTTATTCTTTTATTTGCTTTCGCAAAAATGGAAGCTGCAGATGTTACGTCAAAGTTAAATCTTACTTGGCACGGATTCTACTACTCGGGGCAAAAAGTTTTAAACTCCAGTTTACAGAAAATAGATAAAAATAAAGCAAAATGATCACTGGCTTGTAAGAGAGTATACATGCAATTAAACAAGTAATTCAAAAGCTTCATAGTTTGGTTTCTCCAGGGGAAAAATTAATGATTTGAATCCCTGTGATGTGCCGAAGAGGTTGTTTTTGAGAAAAACTGGATTTGTTTGGAATCATAGATGGTTAAATGAGAGTGAGTTCTGGTCTCATGACCGATCGTTAAACTTAAAATTGAATTTTATTCAATTGGTACTAAATTTGACGTTTAATTTTCTCATTAGAGTGGCACTGCATTTGATGCATATATGAATGAAATAGAGCAGAAAGCTAAAAAGGGAGTTTAATATGTACCTTTAAAGAGCAAATCTCAAAGTTATTTTCTGATTTCTAGGGACTGAAATCGGTGGTTTTGACGCTTTGAGTCCTGTCAATCTGATGAATCAATCTGGCAACAACAAAAGGAATGAAAAATCTGTCAGAAATATTGATGCAATGAAAAGCAAATTAGGGATTAGAGAAAAGAAATTTAACTATAAAATAGTCAGCACGCTCCTCGAATAGTAGATGGCAACGAAGGTAAACTTCTTTCACCTCTAAGTCCTTAATTTTTCAAAATTGTAACCTCAGAAACAATACTGTACAAGTAACAGCTTTGGCAAACTCAACTTTATGACAGAATGCTCTATGTGCTATGAAAAAAATGACATAATTGATTTCTTATAAAATGGAACTCTACAAGAGAGCACTGTGGGAGCACTTGGAGGATTTGCCTGTAATTTGCTCCTCATGCAGAATGTAAAAAACAATGCCATTTCTCCATGGAACTCAAATTGTACATTAGCAGTTATGCCCGTCAGACAATAAAATACATTATATCTAAAAGAATGACTATTCGGAACTTCCCACTGAATTAGTGACATGAATCTCCTTAAAGATTAAAGAAGTGAGAAATATCAAACATACAAATTACCTTAATATAATTGAAAAATCAATTTTAGCAAAACTTCGGTAAATGCATTGTGGCCAAACTTGAGAGGTGACACAAGTAAAATACAAGTAAAATAGTTGAGCTTAATATGAACAAACAAAAGCAGTACAATGCGATGGAATTAAAAGCTTCAAAATTATCTGTCGATACGATTGTAACTTCTTAAAGTTATTTATCTTATTCAATTACTGGCCATACCTCAAATTCATAGTGAAACATGCACAAATACTCACTTAAATTAGCGCAGAAAAATACAAACTCTTCAGAGAAAATTTCAAAATTAATAATCATGTTCATATCACACTTCCAACTTCCATCCTCTTCTGATCTTCTTTCAGCCAAAATATCACAAGTGTGATTCAATCTTAGAAGCTACGTTAGCGAATATTTCAATTTTATTTTAATTTTGCCTTCAGAACTTTTACAAATACTTCCATGAAAATGTCAGAGTTTAATCTTGATGACAAAAGAAATATTAGATAAAATCTTCAAGCGATTCGGTTCATTAATTTTTCTGTAAAAAATTGGACAAGTTTGGCAACATGGTGCCTAAACCACAAATGGCACTTGCGATATGTTGACTGGAATGTGACAATTTTGGACTGAATTCTCCACAATAGTAGGGAAGGGAGAAAGGTGTGGTAGATAAGGTTAAAGAAAAAGAGAAAAGATGATGAATGCAAATTAAGTGGAGTTGAATGGGCTGAAAGCTAGAGGTTTTTTGGATGAGTGCTGAGGTTGACGACTTTGAGAGGGCCCATAAATGATTGGTTTTTCCAATGGGTTTGAATAGATGGAGCGAAGAAAGCTTTGAGTGTTACGGTATCGTGATCCAAGCTGCCCACTAGCATTAGAGTTTCGGTTAAAATTTTTGCTTTTGACATGATTCATCTTTTTTTTTGACACAGCCAGAGCAGGTTTTTTGGTGACAAAATTTTTAACACCATCATTACAAAAATTCTCATATTGAGGAATATTACGTTTCTGGAAAGAATTATAGTCAGACCCATCAACTGCACTTATTGCTGAGTATGAATTCTTGTTCCAAAGAGACATCTCATTTGAATTGTTCATCTGAGAGGATGTTTTGTTTTGATTCCTGAAAGAGCTTTTAGTCCAGAGGGACATCTCATTTGGATTCAATGATGGATTTTTACCTTGTAAGGGTGTTTTCTTTGGATTCATAGGAGGGTTTTGGCTCCACAGAGACATCTCATGCGATTTCACAAATGAGTTTTTACTCTTGAATGATTTTGTACTTTGATGCGCAGAGGACTTTTTGTTATTGAGTGAAAAATTACTATAGGACTTTTCAAAAATTTGATTCTGAGATTGAGGCTGGGAATTGTAACTACTATGGATAGTAAAACCACCATCATTCCTGAAATTAAAATTATCTGCTGGCTGTTGAGATAAGGGTTTAGAATTACTCAGAGTATCAGGTCTTGGAACAAAAGTAACATTTTTCTTTTCATTTGGAACTAAATTCTCTCTGTCAGTCACAGTTTGAGCTTTAAAGGACTTGTTAACTTTTTTGGCGATAGGTTTATTTTTGCGGTTCACATTTGCTTGTCGCTTATTCATGTGACGAAAGACAAATTTGTAACTTGCAGTATCAGAGAGCTTATCATATCGACTTGGAACTTTGGGTTTTTGAGGTGAGTGCAATGAAGAGAAGTGTACATTGGTGGGAATGTTGTTTGAAGAAGGAGAGTTCTCTTGAGAGGATTTTGCAACATTACTTGAAACTTGAATACAATTGACAGAGGCGTATGCTCTTACAGGCTTCTCTGCTTCGATTCTCTCGCTAAAATAGTTGGGTTGGGACACCTGTTGAATACTTTGATCTTCATCTACATTTATTCCATTATTTAAAGAGAAGGAAGAAATTTGGGAGTAGAACATATCGTAAACCTCATACTTATCTCTTCTTGCCAATCTATCTTTGAAGTGAACTTTTTTCTTGGCAGTTTTAGAGTCATTAATGTTTGATTTTGGTTTGTCGAGGCTAGAATCTTGCTTGGGTTCCAAATCTTTACAACCGTCGCCCCCGAAGTATTTTTTTGGATCCATGCTTCTGTCAAGTATTTTAATGTTTGGACCACTTTGTGGTTGCTGAGAGCTTTTGCTGATGGATTCTGCTTCAGCGGAGGAGTCAACCTCAGTGGGCTTCGATGAAGTCTGCTCCACTGTTTTCTTCTTTCGGTTTTTTTTCTTCTTGGCTTTATTCATGCTAGATGCACTTGGATTAACATTCAAGTCAACTGGTAAGGCTGATGTAGAGAAGGGACTAGGTTTTGGAGGAGAGCCTGCGACTGAAGGAACTTTGAAATTTGCTCTTGGTTTATTTTTACCAGAAGAATTAGAGGCTGGACTGAAGTCTACGATTTGTAAATCCTTGAAGCTGTCGTAGACGGCCTGAAATGAATCATGAGAAATTTCGGGTTGAAACTTACCTCTGAAATTATTCGTGGACTGCATCATTGTCATCGCTCTACCACGGCCAACTGAGGTTCTATCGTAGTCACCATTTCCAGGATGAGAAAAAAGACTTCCATGACCAGCAGATTTTGAATACAGATTTCCTCTGCCCATAGACTTTTCTTTATATGCGTTTCCTCCTGAGCTGAACTGGTTTGAAGCATCTCCTCGACCAGAGGATTTTAACTGAACATTGGATTGTCCTCTTCCGACCACATTCCCAAGGTTTCCAGTCTGATAATCTTGATTATAAGAGTCACTCAATTTATTTCCTCTCCCACAAGAGCTCCCTCTACCAGAAGAACCAGCGTTATAACTATCCGATCTATTGATATCTCCTTGGCTATTATAATTGTCTCTATTAGCACCAATAAAATTTCCTCTAAATTGTGAGGCAGCTGCATTTCCTCCCCTGATGGAATTTCCTATTCCTGGCTGCATTCCAGGATTTTCTAGCAGGACTCCTCTACCGACTGAATTCCCTCTTCTGATTGGTTCAGAATGAGACATGTCCCTACCATTTAAATCTTGTTGGACACCTCTGCCAGCAGAGTTATGATAATTGCCTCTAAATTTCTGCTGATTGAACTGACTGGTTTGGTTTTGACTATTACTAGAATAATGAGGCATTTCTTGCTGGTAATTGTTTTGATTCTGCAGAGGTTGACCTTGGTAGTTGGAAAATTCCTGTTGATTGGCACAATTACGGGACTTGAATCTGTTTTCATTTATCCCACCACGTTGACGCCCATTTTTGTTCCAATGTCTATTTGAATTAATTAAATCCTGGTTGGAGGATTGGAGCAAAGTACCTCGGCCACGATTCCAAGTTTTTTTCCTCTCAAAGGACTGTACAATTTGAGCGTTTTGCATGCTGTTTGCTCTGATAAGAGAGGAAAAACCAGAAAACTCAGAGGAGGACTCGTGCCCATTTCGAGTGGCATTATCAACGGTTGGGAAAGTAATTGCAGCAATGTCATCCACATCGCTATCTGTGTCGAAAAAATTTGGTCTATCTTCTAATTCTTCTACCTCTTCTTCTTCGTCTTCTGAATCTGACAACAAACAAGGGAAACGAGGTTCAGACATTTGACTAGGTTGTACCGTATTTTCTATTGAGGCAACTTTCCGATCATTTTCAATGATCGTTAATTCACTGCCACAAGCTGAGGCATTATCTGAATTAGCCTCTTCATCAGAGGAGCGATCTTCGAATTTTTGTGGTCCTGGCAAGAGAGACATTCCTTCTTTTGGGACAGGGCCGGTCCTAGAAATGGGAGCAGAATCTAAATCCTCAAACTTGGAGTCATCATTACTGACCGTACTCCTAATCTCATACTTGCCGTAATCCATTTCATCAATCTCCGACAGGGCCGAGATGATGTCTGCCATGACATGGCCCCTACCTGCACTTTTATTTCGCAGGATACTTGACCTGCTTGGTAGCGTTGATGAGCCTCTGCTTTGGATTTGACGAAATGGACTAGGATTTTTATCAAAATACTCTGGCGGTTTGAAATCTAAACCCGAATTGACACTCATTTGTGATACGCTACGCTCTAGGATTTGCTCATCGTATGATTTGTACTGGATTCCTTCGTTTTCAAAATCTTCCGTTTCTGACTCAGGTTTTTGTAGGGTAGGAACATGATAGGGGGCATCTAGGTAGTTGTCTCTTAGACGTTCAGCATCATACTTCAAGCCTTCGAGTAGTTTGGCATTTTTGCAGACTTTCAAATGTTCGACCAGATTGTCAGGGTGAATGTATTCAGTCGCGTTGTAAGGACAAGGCTCCAATTCGGACTCAGGGTGATTTTTGCGGCACTTGATCAAATGTTTCTGGAGGCGTGACTGCTTGCACCAATGCGCCATCTCGAAAGGGCAACCAACCATCGGGTCATCCATTTTCCAGCTGCAAAAAAATACAACGTTACTTATAAAAATGTATGTGATGAGTTTAAAATATCATGGATACTGCATGAGTAATATGGTATTTGGTAGATGGTAACATGGGCAACATGATTTTACGAAGATAAGTAGAGGCTAAACCAGATGACCTGTTGATAAAATAAAATGAAAGAACAAGATTGTCACATTCATGTAAATGAACAGGCATTCAAAATCTGATTTGCAAAATGGGCGCTGTTTGAATGTTTATCAGATATTGTTTTCATGTTAGGGCAGTATTTTTTCTTTCTTGATCAGAAATGAATCAATTAGCCCTAAAAAGGAGTCCTTAGGAATTTTCACAAAAGTTTTTAGGGTTGCGTTTACTCTCTTTTTACTCTATTTGGAGGAAGAGGAGGTAAGTTTGATGACTCTCCAGACCCTAAAGCTTGCCATCAGCAAGGAGTGCATTGATGGAAAATAAAAACAATGCAACTCAAAAAATTTCTGAAAAGACCATGAGAAAAAATCCCTTAAGGTAATAAGCTTAAAATATTTTTTGCACATAGTGGTAATCAATGATCAGGAGTTCTTTGTTTGTCAGATTGCCAAGTTGTCTTGTTGTGCATGAATGTGTTTACGACAAGAGACAATAAAACACTCTGTGCCCTGTACAAAAATAAAATTATCAACCAATTAAATACACTTTACAGAATTTAATCACCTGGGAAACCAAATAAGTTAGGGGCAGGGAATTTATGCATGGTTGCAGTGAGGATTAACTTATGTGAAATTGCGTGAAAAAACCAAAAAGTTCGTTAAAAAGTTAAAAAAAAAATCATTTTTAGGGCAAAAAGCTAATCAAAATCCGACCCATCAAAAGTTGACAGTCGAGTTGACATAAAAAGGCGATGTCTGAAAATAAGTTCAGCTGATCGACAAACACCGTTTCCCGTCCATGGCGACATCATCAGCACTCCACAAAAATATTGTTTTAAACAGGCCTTTTTAGGACAGGTTGTTTTGCCTTTTAAGAGTTTAAAAAAAACCCCAAAAAACTCTAAGCAGACGCTTCGTTTATTCTGTACTTTCCGATGATGATTAAAAGAAAATGGGTGTTACTGATCCATTGAGGCTCTAGGGCCTTTTTCAATGCCCCAATCCGCTATAACACTAGGATGGACTTATACTTACTCAAAATCTTCAAGTTGTCACCGAAGAATGTTTTTCTTTTAGTTGGACTTGGTCCACTTTAATTTCCTGCAGCACTTCAGTCGCAGCAGGAGCCCTGTTTCCTGCGGGATGCTGGCACTATTCACTGGATGACGATCTCTTGCATCCCTGTATCCTTAAGTCCTCTTCCAAAAAGACCTAGTGTATAATTTCCTCTCTGAGTTACACAACCTGAATCAATTCAAAAGAGAATAATTCGATTAGGGGTCATCAATAAAATACATAACAATGGAAAGAATATCTTTTGATTCCATTCTTCCTCCCTCGTACAACACCTGCACGTAACATGGGTCTACACACTCCTAAACAAATGTTCACTCCAAAATGTTCAGTCCTCTCCCCTCCACCACATAAATTAGCAATGTGTGTTGAATTTTGAAGGAAAAATTGCCACCTCTTGTTGATTCATTTAGATTATCCAAAAATCAGTTTTACACGCCCAGTCGAGCATTACATGATGCAGCCCCGAATATTGCCCCCTTCCGTCTAAAATGCATGAGTAACACAAGGTTAGGTCCCCCTCCCACCATAATACATTACATTTTTTATGAACAGCCCCTTAGATTATTTTTAACTTCAAAACTTTAGTGAATGGAAAAAAATCATGGAATTCCAGAGTTCAAAAATGTTTCGATGTTCATTGATTCATGAAGTAGAAGTGAGTTTTAGAAGCATTTCAAAGTACTTTCCACGATTACCCACGAACCGAGGTGGATGACCCTTAACCCTCCCCCCTCCCCCAAAAAGTAATCAACCAAGGGCCTTTCCAAGCTTGGCTCGCGTGATTGAAAATATTATCGACATCTGTAATAGACTAGCAACATCTTAAGGCAGTTGTGGTATTATAGCCTATGAGAACTTATCACAGATATAAGTCCCACCGGCTGATAAGAGAAGTTCGTAAAAGAGATTAGAATGAGACAACAAAACTGGGCGGCATGCTGGACAGCTGGTTAAAATTTCAGTGGAATAAAAGAATTTCCATGTAGATCTGTCCTTGGCAAGAAAAAATCACTCTGATGCCTTGCTCAAATTGATGCACTCTCTAACATGTTCTTCATTAGTACATTGATAATTTGCATTCCCTACACAGAGTGTTTACTTGTTTCTTGTCAATTAGATATTTTTTCTATAGCTTTAGGATACATATAATGTCGCTTAACAACGCACTCTGGCGTTCTACGACACCCAAATGCCACATGTGCCTGTCTTCCCAGAGATTATCGGGCAACTGACACCGCAACATCTCTTCGTCAACGCCCTGCCGCCAACCCTTTACGGGACGTCCCCGTCGCCTCTTCCCAGGTGGTACCCAATCCAAAACTTTTTTGGGCAACCTCTCCTCCGACATTCTTTGCATCATCTTTAGGATCATTTTTCAATTATTTGGCCTGTTTGCAAATAAACTTTGGACAAAAGCTCCATTTCTGGAGACTCATATTATGGAAAAAGGCGATTGAAAATTGCTCACACTCTCTCAAATGGCACCAACTAGAGTTTCTGAAGCAATGCGCTACTCGCTAAAGACCTTAACTTCTCAAGTTTCCGTAAATTCCCTGACTTTCTTGACTGCCGGATTGTTCTGTTGATTTTTTCCAAAAAATGGATTAAATCGGAATTTTCAATTCCGTCCAAAAAAATTGATGAACTGCAGAAAAATCAGGGCCAAAAAATTGATTTTCAAGAAAATCACTCTGAAAAAAAAATTGATTTGTAGGAACACGAACAGTATTGTGCCATTCATTTACCAAAAATTCTCGCCTTACTGAGCATTAGTTCCATAGTCCCTTAAAGTGGTATGCTGGCTTCCTTCAGTTGCAAAAAATGACATAGGCTTATTGCTTCCTTAATTATTCAGGAATGAAATTTTTGTTTGTAGAAAGTCGCAAAAATTTTGATTTGTGGGTAATCGATTCAACAGCAAAATTGCGTGCCAAAAATTGATAGAATTTCATCCATTATTTAGAGCAAGTAATCGGTTTCTTCCGAAAATAAAAAAAAAAAATCAACAACTCTACAGTACCAGAGGCCCTGCCTGAGGAATGAGATATGATGCCGGAACAGTAATTTTACATGTGACCCTTAGGATTCTTTTTCAAAAGCTGAGGACTCCCAAGAGTTACTATTTAGATAGGCTTGCTTTGATTACAGGCGAAAAGTATCTCCCCTTCTTTGAATGCAGGAGATTGTTATTTGAAGAGGAGAATGTAATCACAATCCCTAGCTCGTTAGTTGACTGAATTGTCAAGAGAATTAAGAGTAGTAAAAGTCAAGTGCTAACCAAAAAGAGTTTGTTTGAATCAAGAATTCGTATCATCCAATTTGTGTTTCTCCACTGGAAGCACGTCAAAGTATGTTGGGCACTTAGAAAATCTCAGTGCCAATGTATAAAAAAATATAATCGACAATATCTTAGAAAAAAGTATCGCTCAACAAAGTTCCCGAGCAGGTAAGACTGAAAAAGCTTTCAGAGTCGGAGTCGGAGACTCTCATTCTGACTTGACATGTGAGGCGACTACTAATTGTAAGCTAGATTGTTAATTTGTTACCATAATTACCTAAGCGAGTAAATTATCCAGATGTAACGGAGAAAAGAACAATTAATGGACAAACACCGAACAGAATTTACACTTCATACTGCAAGTCTTTTCTGTTTTTCAGTCGAAAATTTGCGAAATTATAATTCTAAGGAAGTTCATTGGTATCAAATTTTTTCCGGAGGCAGTGATCAGCAACCACGTTTTCAACATTCATCAGCCGTTGACTGTTGAGACAACAAATCCTTTATAGGTTATGTTTATATTTACGTTTGTGATGGGTGCACATGTGCATATGCTGTCTGCTGTTCATGGCTCAAACTTTTAATTTCATACTGTGGATGAATATCTCTTTTCAAGAGAAATAACTAGTAGGAATTTCAGGTAATTGCTAAATTAATTATTGAAACATATAGTCAGCTTCCATCAGTGGGCCATTTTAGAGTTATAAGCAATGTTCTACGGAGCTTTTTATCAGAGAAAGGCTATCAGAAGCAGCACCATCATGCATTCACTATCTAATTAATTAGTTGAAAGGCTTACCATCCAATGTCTGCCTTTCTCCCCATTTGAGTTATCCAATGATTTGAACCTTCATTCAATGAGAAGTGGGAGTAAAATGTTCGAATTCCACCTGTCGTTATATACCCTTCTAACACTCAAATTTAAGCTTTGGCTTGTACGCCAAGCCGCTAAGATTACAGTCTAAAGTTATACTTCGAAGGAGTCATCCTATCAATTTGACTCGCCTAGAATAAATTCTGTGCCATGCCAAGTTTTCAAGCATGATTCCCTATTGAGTAACCTCCAAAATTAAGAATTTGAATGGCACTAGGAAGAAGTTTCTAGTCAAGTATACTCTTAACTGCACAACAAAGCCAAGAGCCTATGGATTCCATGAAGGTATGCAATTTTACTGGAATCTCTATCTGTCGCTGCATGCTGGCCTCCCAACGCCTTGATGAATTCTGAACATAAAACGTACATTTTATTTCTGGTTTTTCCATACCTGAACCGTGCATGTGATTGAATTTCAGATTATTTCACCTCTCATTTGATAATTTTTCTCCTTGTTTACAGTGAGGTTTTGAAGATGTCAAAATCTCCAACTCTGAATGTCTCTCTGTATCAAGTGTGGGATTCTTTCTGGGATCAAAAACTGACATCTTTCGGACAGTCGGAGAAAGGTATCTTTTTCAATAACTAAAGTTTCTACCTAGGTAAGTATTCTTAAAAAAAGAAAGAAAAAAAATCCATCCATGTCAGGGCTCTATCTGGGCTTTGGATGTCACTTCACCTTTTCTGCAGAATGGACCACTAGACAATTTACGAATTTCAGCATTCTGATACATGTTTCGTGACTAAAATTCCATGTAGAACACGATGCGCACAACGAAAATTACCGAAATCAACTCCTTACGAAGATATTTAATGATTCTTGGTGCGTGAATTCAAACCACCCGCTCATGAAAACTCAATGCTCTACGTGATTCACATCGTGCGCCAAACGTTATCATAACAGTCTCTGCTGTATACAAATCTGGCAACCTCAATCTTGACGCTTTGGCTCAGCCATAGCAAATTGCTTATAGTTTGAACATCACATGGTGGAAATGACATTGCTCGATTGAGAAGATTGCTGAAACCGTTGTAGTGCGCGATTTGACTCACGTAGAGCTTTGAGTTTCTTGTCAGCGGGCAGTTCAAATTCCTCGTAACCAATGTGAAATAAAAACGTTAATATCTTCGTTAGGAATTGATTTCAGTAATTTTCGTTGTGTGAATCGTTTTTTACGTGAAATTCTGGTTAAGGAACATGTATCAGATCGCTTAAATTCATACCTTGTCTAGTAGTCCATTTCAAATTAAAGCTTGCTCTTGCAATCTGGTGCAGCGTAATTAGTTTCAGAGAAAATGCCCGGAGGTAACAAAGTCTTAGGAGGGTCAAGAAAATGAATCCTTTATTTTTCATATTCATTATGATGCTGCCATGGTTGATAAAATACACCACTAAATAAAATTGATACAGAGTAATTGATATTCATGACATCTGCCTTACATCCCGAGTAATCAGTATTTCATTTTCCTTCTGTTCGCAATTAGTTCCTGATGACGTATTACTTGCGCTGCATTCCATTCATGGATCTGTGCTGGAACGCGCAGTAGAACTCTTTGATAAAGACTGCCTGACCGTTTTCCGAACAAAAGGACACTCACGAGAAGTATTACAAGTAAGTTTTTCCCAAATGTTGTGAGAACATTAAAACACTTTATCAGGGGTGCAGAATCTTTCAAGCTTTCAATTATCAAGACGCATGTTGACCAGCTTTCCACACCCTCAGAAATTCCCCCTTTTTTCACATTCTCTCATGTGTGATTGGGCCTGTGTTAAAAGAAAGGATGAAAAAAAATCCATCCCTGAAGAGTAACTTAAAACTTGTCTTTAAGATTGAACTTAATCACTCTCATATTTAATTATTTATTACTTAGGGGGAACACACTTTCGGTGGCAACATGTATGCCTAAAAAACTCCCGTGAACTGTGTTGGTACAATCTTTCAATCAATTATTTTTCTTAGTTCATTTATTTCCCTAGCAATAATGGATATTAAAGAAACTTTCAAGAGATAACTCTTAAAAAAACTGTTAAAATGTTCATTTCATGATACCTACTCTGTTTTAGCATATTTTTAAGTAAGATTTAAGAAACAAGTGTATAATAATACCTATTGTATCAGTTTTTCAATTTTGAAAATGCTTGCAAAAGTTTTAAAAACCTCTTAGAAAAGTAAATCCTTTTTTCATAAATTCTGATGGGTTAAATTTTACCTCAAAAGGAAGCAAAAAGTGTCTCCTAAATGGAACATTTCTATACCCAGTTTTTTTTAGAGTTTTATAATATTGTTTTTTTAAGGTCATTGTTACTAGGCTTGTGCTAAACATGAGAACTAAAACTTATCCAGTTACAAATGGTCAGTGAATTTTGGTATTCCATTTCTCAAGGTCTACAAGTGATTACTGATATCATGAGAAAATTGGGGAAATCCTTGGCTTTAAGATTAATCAGTCATTGACCATCCCACCACTTCAGCTCTTCTTTTTTATTTTCATCCTACAATAACTCTTATTGCTATCTTTCTTTTCAGATAATTGGCTCCTCTGGGATGATATATACACTATTCCACAAAATAAACTTTTGCCAATGTCAATCTTATAAGTTTCAAGTTCTTCTCTACAAAGCCAATGTCACATGCAAACATGTATTAGCTGCAGCCCTCTCGTATGCAACGGGCAAGTTTAAAGTGATGGAATTGTCATCTGAAGATTTAACAAAATTACTGATTGATTCATTCGTAGGCAGGAATGAAATGCAGACCTCTGGACATCCCTAGTATGAGAGACTTTAATTATTGACAAGGATTACACTCTAAAATAGTCTGGACGGTTTCATATTTAACCATGGTAATTTGGTTTAAAATACATGGAAATGGAGAGTCTGATACCGATAAAAAAAGGACTTATATTTAGGGCTTTGGATGCAAGAAGAGCACCTCTCAAATGCAGTGTTTTAGAATCTTTGTTGCTAATTTAGGACTTTGAGTATAATGGGTAATCTCTGAGTTTTTCTTTGGAACATTGTAAATCGAAGAATTCAGTAAGAATTTCAGTGCATTGCATGCATTCACTTTCCTAACCATCGCTGAAATATGAGCAGAGATTCTGAACCATGGCAACTGAGAGGTGGCCTTCTTGCATCCAGCACCTTAAGGTGAATCTACAGCGGTGTGTCACAAGAAATTTTTTCGCGCAGGGAGCACCACTGCTGTGTTTTGATTTTTTGGTCCACGCTGTTAGAGTCCGTACAGCCCCACGTGAGTCCTTGGGCTTTCATGAAAGTTAAAGGAATTTCTGTTAAAATCGAAGAGTCAAGTTTTAGCTACAACATTCTTCTGCCTATGGTACTAAAAAAGACGAGAAAAGTAATTTCTGGAACTCTGAAACTTGACCCCTGAAAAATATTTGCCCATGTCTCACCCATTTTAGCCTGTTGGAGAGGCAAATGTTTGCTGTTAACATTACCTGTATTCCCATCTCAAAATTTTAATTTAACCATCTGCTGAAAAATTTGAGACTCTGTGAATAGATTAGTACCTTTTCTTGCAATATAAAATAATATCAAGAGCTAACAAGAAAAGTTGGTAGGTTGCCAAGTTTTTGAAGTAATCTCATTTTGTATCTCTTGTATGGACAATCTTTAAATTTATTTTAAGGTGATTCGATGGACGCCATATTTTGTGTCAGAAAGGCATGCGATATATCGCATCAATTGGTTCCATATTTTCAGCTACTCGTCATTTTTCTCCTATTTTGAGATTGCAATTCTGTTGTCAGGAGTCTAAAGCACTCACTTACCAATTTTAACAAAGAAATTCAACGTAATAAAGGCGTGGTTTTTTCAGAGAAAAAACATCGCATTCGATACTGATATCGAAACTGCACTCGAATGCGATATTTTCTCTCTGAAAAAACCACGCCTTTATTACGTTGAATTTCTTTGTTAAAATTGGTAAGTGAGTGCTTTAGACTCCTGACAACAGAATTGCGATCTCAAAATAGGAGAAAAACGACGAGTAGCTGAAAATATGGAACCAATTGATGCGATATATCGCATGCCGTTCTGACACAAAATATGGCGTCCATCGAATCACCTTAAGGCTTTGATGTAATGAAATTAATGATAGATCTTACTCCTTCAAAAACTCTTCAATCCAGAGTAAAGTTTCATGATTACAAATGTTAAAGTTTAAGACACTTCAATTAGTCTTAACCAGCAAATAAAATACAGTATTCACAGAAAACTTTCTGAATTGAAAAAGATCATACTGTAAGTGAGGTATATATTTTTATACAAGTGTGGAAAATAAAAACTAATTATTTCGTGTGATAAAATGCGTTAAACCTTTATTTAAAAAATTCAATCTCAACCAAAAATAATTAGTCGATAACACTGTCTTTCTTTCAAAACAATATTGATCGGTTAAACACTAAAGACATTTTTAAAGTCTCTCATTTTAAGTTTACTGAGGAGCGTAACAAGGAGGGAAGCGCCGAATGAATTTCTACACATTAAGAGAAAAATGGGGAATTTGCTCAGCAGCAATTCCATGAAGTAGTATCCCATGGGTCTTATGAGATCAGTTTTCTAGGAAAATCCATGACAAAGCAACAAAGAAATACATTTTTTCATCTTGACTAGGCTCTAGCCTTGAAGGGATTATTAAATCTCATTCATGCTTACAGGAACGCATGAAGAAAGCAGCAGTGCTTGTCAAGACCGTAAATTAATCGACTCAGTCATAATATCTATTCTCGATTATTAAATAAGTTCCTTTTGGTAACCCTCACAGCTATCTTTTGCACAGTCCCCTTTACTCACTCAAGTTTTAATCAGACACACTGAGGTTGCCTCCTGCAACTTCAGCTGTATCTCTAAAAATTTAAAAAAAAAAAAAAACAAAAAAAAACAACCGATTTTGCTGCTTGGATTTAAAATTGATTGATCTAAGAATTTTCCAATATGACCAGATTAAAAAAATTTCCTGTACAAGTTTTGTGATTACTTAGGTATAGGACACAGTTGAATTATCATCTCTAGGTAGTGGTCAAACCTTTCTATTACGGATTTTTTTTTATGTGAAAGATAATTTGAGTAGACGACTGGAAAGGGATGAATCTAAAGAAAGGCAATATATTAATATGTATTAAAAAATCTTTGATCGTAAAAAATTGAAGGAACTGACCAGTCGGCAAAATAAGCGCAGAAATCATTTACAATCATCAGAAATGAGAGTCGAGCAGAGAGAACAGATGTTTTCCTGCTAATGATTTAATTCACTAACAAAATTATATTGACAACTGAATATGAATTTATCTTACTAAGAAAAGTCCTACTCACCACAACGCTATGGTAAATTCAAACTATTTAAATCATCAATTGCAAGACTTTTCGAGATTTTTATGAGATTAAGAAGATGACAAACGGTTAGAAATTCATGCTGATCATTTGTTCTTCAAGTTGTAACGTAGGCTTCTGAATCCGAGCTCTCAGAAAAGATAAAAATTAATTAATCTATCACATGATTTTAGTAGGGATTGGATTCCTGCAGTCTATTTGAGTTAGTGCACCCACCTCATTCCTTGAGAATTCCTTTGCAGAGCTAAGACTGCAATTAAATTAACAGTGGATTGAAGGGACATTTCACAACCCTCCTTATTTAGGAACGTTGAGTACTGACAGGAAAATATTACACCAAAAAGTAGACGAAAACCATGGAAAACATTCACAAGAAAAAAAATAGAAAAAAAGAACAAACAATGATTGATACTATGTAAGATTATGATATAATACTCTAAAAACTCTATATTCGATTAAAATTTCATTATGATTTAAATTTACACTAGAGATAGCTACTAACGCAGACGTAATTATTTACAATATACAATTAAAAGCAAGACTCGGAGAAATTTACAAAAAATGATAGAAGTAGCACACTGAAGACAAAATAAATAATTAAAAAGAGCGATCGGAGATGCATATCTACCTCAATAGATAAAGACTGCTGCATGTTTAAAAAAATAAATTAAGGTAAAAAAGTACTTTTTTCAATAAGTTTTCATGATTTCTTCAGGACTGTGATCGAATTTCCAAAAGTAAAAGTCGTCATGGAAGAGGGAAAGGAGGGAATAGAGGATGTAGTACCAATGTGTTCACGTTGCATAACGTTTCGTCCATAATCTGGCAATCCTGTCGTGCTCTTCGCGGTTTTGTAAATACTGTGTGGCTATACTTCCAACAAGAGGGTCAGCTACAAACATGAAAAAACAAAGATAAATGATCAGCAGGAAACTCCTTGGTGTAGTGACGGAACTTTTGTAGGAGACTGATTTCTGTTCAGTTGAATTGAGACTTTGGCAAATGAGTTTTTAAGAAAATACACTCTTCAGTATTCCCAAAAATAAGTCGTCAATAATTCACGTCATTTCTTTTTTAATAGAAAAACAAACACAAAAATCTTTTTGGCTACAATCAGACCTCACTTCATCAGATCCTAATTCAACAGATCAATCTTCCGGTCAAATTGACGGATTCCACAATTTAATGGATCGATTTGTCAGTCCTGTGAAGTATGATAGATTGAAGTCTTACTGGATGCTTTTTATGAATTACTTAGTTTGAACCACGAACTTAGAGGCATCTCAACTCCTGTTTAGTCAGACATTTAAACATGACAATAACAAAACAAAAAAAACTCTTCCGAGCGCATTGATGTCTAAAATCCAAAATTATTTTTTTTTTCGTTAAGTTTCCTTTCCCTGTGGACAGTCACAATTGAATCGAAGTATGCGAAAACGTCCGTTGTCCAATACAGGGTTTCATAATTGCAGTGGGTTTCTTTTGTCCGACGACACCGATGAATAGGATCGATCTCTTCTGTAAACGTTCAATTACACTTAGGGGATTATTTATAATATTGTTTTACATTCCTAACGTCTAAAACCATCTTGTGTCGTTAAGTTACAACGAAATTGTCCACTCAAATTCTGAAACATTGTCTTGCACAACGAACGTTTTCGCATACGTTGATTCAATTAACAACTTAGGAGGCTCTGGACTTGCGGAAAAGCAACAGTGGCTTATGGCCAGGAATTCAGAGTAAGGGTGCACAGTCTATTTTGCTTGATAAATGAGCTTGGCCAGTAATATTCAATTCTTGCATAAGTGTACAAATGTTAATCGAAAGGAACTCTGACCATTCTGAGCCCCGAGATCCATAAGTATACATACATTACAGGGTTCATGTCACAATGGATATAGTTTTTTGGGATTTAAATGATCCCAATTAAAAAGAAGGGAGTGCATTTATTTTGCATTTCATGCAACCGGCAAACAAGCGGGCTGGTAGGGTGGACAAGAAGTTTCTGCACCCCTATTCTGCCGTCCGAAGTAAAACCGCCGCACCTCCATTCGACTTTTCAACTTTTTTCTGGCATAATACCATTTTACAAGAAAACTAGCAAATATTCACCTTTCATTTATTCGAGTCAAGTTTGACATACCATTAGGAACTCACAAGTCAAAAAAAGGAAGCCTTGTTGTATTTGGATTTCCTTGTATTAGAGCAGTATAGGTGGAAAAAAAATACAAAATTTGTGGAAGAGATACGGCGTTTTTGCAGTAGACGGTAGTAATAAGGAGTTTCTTGGTTACCCTTTGAATAAATTACTTTCAGCAAAAAGAATGACATAGCCAATTATAACAAGAATAAGGGGGAAACACTTACCAGGATTGCAATCAGTCAAAAGTGAGCAAATTGATAGCAGAACTTTGGAAATGGTCAGTGCGGGGGACCAGTTATCTTTCAGAATATCAAGACATATCACTCCTTGACTGTTGATATTGCAGTGATAAATCCGAGTCCTGAAAGTGACCTGTGAAAAAGATGCAAAACATTAACCTCTGCAAGTAAAGGGTGAGAGAGCTAACTTCATGTTCAGTTTACATGAAGTCAGTTCTATTTTTTGAATAAGAAAAAATATTTTTTTAAGTTCTACATCTGAAGCCATAAAAGTGAAATGTTTTAGTTCGTTTTTGCTAGAAGTGTGTGGAGACCGATATTACTAACGTTACTGCAATGGCATGATGATCAAAACATTGCAATAGGAATGCCTTTCGTTTTGGAACAAAAATACTTGTAGGAAACAACAGGTATTGAAAATACTTGTTGAAATTAGGCACTGTTTTATTCTATGTTTGAGAGGGAAAAAATCAAAGTTATCTCCAACAATTTTAAGAGAACAAGTTTTAGCATCTAAGGAACTGCACAGTACGTGTTAACCCATTCCCTCAAAGTGACGAGTGAGACTATTCATGCAACTTGGCTACGCGTATTGCCGTGTTTTGATGTTTTCACGAGAGATAGCGCCACGTAAATTGACAGATGTTGTCACTAGAAGTAGTGTGACCAACCTGTGCTGGTTTTGTACGGTAATTTCCCCGAATATAGGGAATTTTGTTAGTTTCAAAATGCGAAAGCGTGGAATAACCTCGAAACTAAACCTCATTTTGCACACAATTTTCTTGACTTTATTTTATTTTTATTCCATATTTGAGCGGTTTGGTTGTAATGCAACTATTATTTCTTACTTATATTGGTATTTTTTGGGCTTTCTGACTAATGGCATGTATTTCCTATCCAAAAAATTAGATTTTTCTCCTGAATTTTGATTTTTTTTCTTCTTTCTCTCAAGAAATTCACCTCACATAAGCTGACTTACTGCAGAAATAGTGCAACACCCAGGCAAATTTATTTATATAAACATCATACTAATTATAACTAATAAGAATCAGGCCAAAAACTTGCTCCTAATTATCAGGAAAAGCAGAAAATTAAGATGAAACCAAATACAGCTTTTTACAGTGAAATTAAATACTAAATCTGTGCGCGGGTATGCAAAATTAATCAATAAGGGAATGGATTAAAATAATCGAATCTACCTTGGGCGGCTTGAAGGGATATTCGGGAGAGAAATGAATATCTAAGAAGAAAACTCCTCCCTCATATACTGAGCCGGGAGGTCCTAGGATTGTTGATACCCATTCATAGAAATTATCTCCTTTGGGTCCAGCACTGAAACAAAACGACGAAATACATTTGAATTGCTCCTTAAAGCACATGAGACTCAAGAATACTGGAAGAAATAGTTTCATATCGCAGGGTGTCTACTAAAACAGGCTGGTCAAAAATAAGTACTTTTTCAGTTCATTCTCAAAAAATTCATTAACTCCTCCAACAGAAAAATTCCGTACTTTTTCAGTAACTCCATTTGACGATATTAGAAAAATTTCAAAAATTTGAAATTGCGAGAAAAGTGACAAAAAATTTAAAAAAATTCCGGACCTTTTTGTGGAATTTCCGCACTTTTCCAGTATTTCGGGACCGCCCTTGAAAAATCAGTACTATTTACTGACTTTCCGGGAATTCCGGACTTGTAGACACCCTGTATCGTCATTGAAAATACAGGTTTGTCTTCAAGCGTTCCTGACAGAAAAAAGAACTGACAGTTCGATAAAGTTTGAATGCAATCAAGTTGAATTTAGGTCCCTAATTGAGCAGTACTAAGACTTCATACCTCATTAATCTGTCTTATCCATTCATTGACAGGTACGACACTTTACAGCTTTTGATAAATTGTGAGGCAACTAACATCGAGATCTGTTAGAAATCAGGGGTTTAGCTCGTGTAAGACTATTCAGTATTCTCACAGAGGAACAAAGTACATACAATTCTTTGTCTTTTCCTGACCTTCAAATGAAATTTCCTCCCAATTTTTTTTGTTTTGTTTATATTTAAACACTGACTTCAACAAAACTTGGGATAAAATTATCACATAAAGCTAATATTGGGCCATTAGGTAATTTTCAAAAGAAAATTTTTTTGGAACTTTTTACATTGCCTTCCGGAAATCAAGGCAAATCTGAAATTTTACATGAGGCAAACTGAGGCATTCGGTGCAGAAAGGGCACTTCTCCGCTGAAGCATTTCAGAGTCTCTACTGCTGATTCATACTTTAGGGACAAATCAGCGTAAAGTAAGTTCAAAATGCAAAGTTCCCGAAATTTTTGGTTCAGAGCATTGTAAAATTGTGAAGAATATTTGATAAAGGTTTGAAAGAATTAAATACATTTTCTATGATAACGGTAAATAAATGAAACATTAGCAGAGATTCTATGACAATGCAACCAAGAAGTGCTTTTTCTGCACCCAGTGCTTGAATTATCATGTGATGTAAATACAATATCAAGAGAAAAAATCGATCGTACTAGAATTTCGTGTTCTTGCAGTAGTTTTCACATCTAAAAGTAAGCATGGTTTAGGAATGATTCAATTTTAATCATGAACTTACCTGCAATTTGGGGGTGGGTCCAAGGTGATTTCCGCTAATTCTTTTTGTATCCTAGAGAAGAAAAGAGGCAACTATGAAATTGGGTATTTAGAAAACCACTTTAAGTAAAAAAAATAGGCCAGATGACCACAACTAGATAAACTTTCATTGGGATCAGAAATATTTTTTGAATCATGGAAAATCATGTCAACGAGATTCCAAAAATACTTTTTTATCATCATCATCAATGAAAATAAGGTTGACGAAAATTGCCGAGGTAAATACAAGAAGATTAACTTTCATTGGGATCAGGAATATTTTTTGAATCACAAAGAATCATGTCAACGAGATTCCAAAAATACTTTTTTATCATCATCATCAATGAAAATAAGGTTGACGAAAATTGCCGAGGTAAATACAAGAAGATTACCTTTCATTGGGATCAGGAATATTTGTTGAATCACAGAGAATCATGTCAACGAGATTCCAAAAATACATTTTTATCATCATCATCAATGAAAATGAGGTTAACTAAAATTGCCGAGGTAACTACAAGAAGATTAACTTTCATTGGGATCAGGAATATTTTTTGAATCATGGAGAATCATGTCAACGAGATTCCAAAAATACTTTTTTATCATCATCAATGAAGATAAGGCTGACAAAAATTGCCTAGGTAATACAAGAAGATAAACTTTCATTGGGATCAGAAATTGACTTTCATTAGGATCTAACAAAATAATGTAACTTTCATTGGGATCAGAAATATTGATTGAATCATGGAAAATCATGTCAACGAGATTCCAAAAATAAATTTTTAACATCATCATCAATGAAACTAAGGTTGACTAGATACTGTTTTCCATTATTCATTACAATCAGAAATGTTTATTGAATCATGGAAAATCATGTCAACAAGATTCCAAAATAATTTTTATCATCATCAATGAACGTGTGGTCAACTGTTGCATCGCCTGAGTAAGGATTCATAATTTTTCTTAAAGAAGAAAATCAAGACTCTTCAAAGGCTTTAAAAGAAGTTTTAAATAGTGAAATCACAGATTTGCAAAGATCTTCCAAAAGCTTCCGAAGATGTTTTGAGGGGTTTTGTGGGCGAACAAAAAAAATGCCCTTAAAAGTGGAGGCTTCCTTGCCTTCTTCTTTGCTTATTTTCATGTGTAAGAAAGCGAATTCAAACAGTGCTATTTGAGATTCTAGAGATACACCTATGCAGAAGAAAACAAGACTATTCTTTTAGGTAGTTTTGAACTATGCAACAATGTGAATACAAGTTTTGTTACTATGGTTTGCCAAATTCAATGTATGAAAATTGGCAAATACCTTTTCGCAGAAGTACTTAAAGCCTTGGACATTTTTGGATTAGGTTTAATATCACGATTCTCAGATTTGGGTGATTCAGCAACTGATGAGACTCCGCCACGGCCTCGGCCAGTACCACTGGAACCTGCTCCGGACATCAGTGGCTCTGAAAATGAAATCAGACAATAATAATTAAGTCACAGTGCCTAATTACAGAATGATTGTCTTTTTCATAACACTCTACCCTTTCTTTACTTCAAAAGATACTGAACTGAAAACAGGGAAATAGCATTATGAATTGGATGCCTGATCAGCATAAACGTACATTACAATCTACACCGTGCATTAGGATATTTCGGTGAGATAATAGGCAACCCAGATTTCATGTGATACCATCTAACGTCTCTTGGTACCTGGTCCAGCTGTGCTGCCAACAGCCATGAGTGCCATTGAATTTCTGCGAACGCGAACCATCCTTGGGAAAAACAGGCGCACAGTCACACTCCTACAATGAGCGTCATACAGTGCTTACTACATGCCAGGCTTTATCAAATAAGCTGAGGGCATGCGTTTACTCTGCTTTATCCCCCCCCTAGCTGTCTTACCTCTCCTGCCTAAGTCGGGCGCAGTCTAGATTGTATTATGAGTCTATGCTGATTAGACAGCTCAAAATGGAAACCATGGAGGAGGGAGGAGAAAAAAAGGGTATGGACTCGCCTCTGATTGGCTCTTTCAGCTTTCTGTGAGGGCTTGTACACATGAGCTTTGTCAGTGTGTTGGTGAGAGAAGGTTCCACTGCAAAAGCACAATTTGAGGACTTATTAATGGTTTGCTATAACTCTTTATCCATTCTAATTTTCTTCTAACATAACCAAAATAAGCCTGAGTTTTACATGGCTTAGATATTTCCTTCTATATTTTATCTTCTCAACAAAAACAAGGCGATTTAACATCTCAAAACTTTCCAGAAATTTTCAATGGATTAGTAAAGTTACTTTCATAAAATTTTAAGACAAAATGTTGCTTGGTTTAAAAATCAAAGTTGAGAGAAATTGGGTGACAAGCAATGTAGTTGAGCTGGCCATTGTTAAAAAAGTCCGAATATTAATGCTACTGTTCAACAGGTTATCCCTCATGAATGTCTCATGGATACCTCTGATTCTCTCTTTTTCATTTACCTTTTTTTTCCTGCTGACAACAAATTTAAGGAAGCACGCAGAGTTAAAACAATATGGAGCCAGCTGTTACTAAGGTTGAACTGACTAATATTAAGACCATCCTGTGAGTGTCCTGAAAATATAGTCACCAGCCCACGTAAGAGTGAATAAATAAAGCCAGCAAAATGGGGGTTGCTTAAGCTCGAAGATAATTTGTTAGCTATCCGGCATAATCTTGTGGAACTCATTATAAAGCTGCATCAATTTAAATTTTCAGTTCCTATCACTCCCTTTCTAAAAATGGTCTGAAACCTCCCAAAATTTGCTTGAAAAAGTTGTCTTAAAATCATTGAGACTAGGCAAGTTCTTAAGCAGATGAGCTGAAGAGGGTTGCATGGGAAACTACGCAATTTCTATCCGATTTGGTGAGAATTCAATTGAGCCTTAGATTGTTTCTGGCTCCTGTTCAGACTAAAGCCCAAAATGATTGATGAAAAATATTGGAGAGAAGCGCATGCTTGGGTCAGCCTATGGCATCGATCAATAGATATGTAGGAATGTAAATTAAGAGGTCAACAAAGATTGTCCTAACAAAGGTGTTGGACTGCTAAACTTGAGACATAATACTTGACTTTTGAGAGCCCGTGTAAATGAAGGGGAAATCTACAGGTATATATCTGTACAACCGAAGAAGGTAATTATGCATCAACAGGGTTATATGGAGATTGACAGGAATGCGAAGATTGGCATTGGTTGCTTACTACATTATATCAGGCCTAAATTTCTAAAGAGATAGACATGATCGAGAAGGATTGAACCAAAATGCTATTTCTCCCTCCAATAATATCTACATGACATAGACGTTGAAATGACCTAGAGACAAGCTGCAAAAATATGATAAAAAAAGTGGAATTGCCACAATGAGATAAAGGAGACAATAGGCCTACTTCTCTTATTCTACTTAGGCACACATTAAAATAGTAATTGATGGAACTTAAAAGCTAAAGAATAGAGCGAAATGGAAACAGATTAAAGTAAGTAACTACTTGGAGTCAAGCGTAGACAGCAGTCATGAGAGTGAGTTATGAATTTTCATGTCTACATTGGCTTAGAGTTAAGGAGAAAAGTGCAAGCTAACATACAAAGAAATCGGGTAGCATCGGAACCATGGTCGTCCAACTGAGATTCCTGGAAAACCAAGTCGCGGCTAAACATAATATGAATTATAACACAGAAATCACGAGAGGAAATTAGACTCAGAGCGAAGTACTGAAAATTTTAGAGTGGAGAAATGGATCTACTAAGTACTACCGGCAGCCATTACGACTTCCGACACGAACAATAATAAAGATCACGATCAAAACAGCAATTTAGATAAACGATTAAATGGGCGCCTGATATAAGTTTTACTTACAACAATGATATCCAACTATAGGTCCGCGCGTAGAGATGACCTTACAGAGGATAAAACTTTACTAGAACCATGGATTAGAGGAAATATTAGAAATTTGATAAAGGAAAATCTAGCAGGCGTCTTGCGTCTACTTGACGACAACCCCTTCTCTCTCTACCCCCGTTCCCTGTCCGGCTTACAGGTTGCTCAAATTTTCAAACTTAGAATTCCCTGAATATTGGTACTTTGATCAAATATATTATCCCTTTCGTCGTTGATGACTGTACGTGATGGCAATGAAAGATCAATTATTAAAATTGAAAAATTTTGGGCAAAAGGACGCTTCTTGATTCACTAGATTAAATTTAACAAACAAACTAAATGCTATGCCACAGTAGTAGGGAAATTTTGTTTACATTCCATATTTCAAAAGTTTAAAAAATTCCAAAGCCATGTTCCAAATTGTTTCCGCGATTTTGGAATATGAGCAAGGAAACTTTTGTTTTGAAAGTTTCCACGTGAAATTCACATGGCATGAATGAGCATGTTCATCATACTGTGTATATTTAATTATCTAGCAATGATAGACGAATTTGTGTTTAGAGTTGTGCAGTTTTTTACGTCGGTAGCTGTTTTTTTGTTCCCTTCTCGCCTTTAATTTTAGTTTAGTTTCGTGTGCCTCGAATTACTTTCATATCATCGCCACTTAATTCCGCTGATACTCTCGACCATGCACTTCAAAGATGGTACGTAAGATGAACAATTTCTTTTTTGGGTCATCTCTAGGCCTTATAGAATTATACTTTATGTGAACTTTATGGTCACTTTCACAGATAGAAAAATTATCTTGCACCAGGACTCTGTAGTGACTCATAGTTCCTTTGCACTGACATAGCACATTGAGCTGACAGTAGTGTCAACAGCCAGAATTGGTGGTGCAGTGGTTAAGACAGTTTGCTGCGAACATGGTAGTCTTGTGGTCTATTCCCCGTAGTCGTAATCTCTTAAAGACAGGGTGGGGAAGGATATGGCAGCATTAGTCAGTGTGTACTAGACTACGTTGTGATTAAATCATGGATAGAGGTGTCGGCAGCTAAGTTAGCATCTGTTTATTTTCCTTTTGCAAGTGACTGCATTTTAGGCGTCCAATTGCAGCTGAGTATTAAACATGGCACAATGGCAGTGGCGTTGCAAGGGGTTGTGCTGTGCATAGGCGGTCCTAGACCTTCATGTTTGGGGGTGCCCAGAGGTGGAAAATGTCGGAGACCGGCCCCAAAAGGGGACGGTCGCTCAGGGGAGGCCTAATTTCCGGCCCTCAAGTTTTATCCCATTCCTACCCTCCTTTCTCTTTTTCTCTCCTTTCTTTCTACTTAAATACTTATAAATTCAACGTAGAAAATTTTTAGCAAAACTTTTCACCAAAACTGCATTCTTATCATAAAAAAAAACAGTATAATCTTTGTAAAACACGGCTATCAATATTAATTCTGTTTAAAACATTTCCAATTAATTGCTGGGATTTTTTTCAGTGTGAGCGAATACAGAATCTTTGAAAGCAGTAATTTGGTCTTGTTTAGATCAATTTTCAGATTTAAAAAATTCATGAAATAAAAATATTGCCAATTTTTTACGCTTCATAATACGATTTTTTCTTGACGTTTTTACTTGCCCAAAAGCCTCTTTCACGGTTCCAGTAACCGTACTTAATTTTTGCTTGGGGGTGCCCGGCACCCACTGGCACCCCCGTAGAACCGCCTATGGTGCTGTGGTCAATCCCCAATCATGATTAAGACGCCCTAAACAAAAATTTCTTACAAACGGAAAGTTAACACAGGGTTACCACAGTCAGGGAAAATTTGTTAAATCATATTCATTTGCTTTCTAGAATGGGTTTGAAGTTTCAAACGAGAAATTTTGCCTGCAAATTACTTTCAATTATGCCCTCTTAACCATCCGTCACGTTTCAATTGTCAGGGAATTCCATCAAAATATGTCAGGGAATTTCATTTTCTTAAGTCTGTGGCAACCCTGTAAACAAATGCCAACTTAGCTGACAACACCTTTAAATTGTTGCATGCAAGACTGGTACATGGCATCACCTATAGGAGGAAAATCAAAAAAGCAAAGTCTGGCATAGAGAAAAAAAAGGAGGTGTTTGCATCTTGAGGTTCGTTTACCTTGTGACGTAGGTTGGTACAACCTGGCCAGCGAAATCCGGAATTCGAAGTATGACAAACGGACCATAATGTCCCATTTTTTTGCTTAAACTAACTCATGATACCGACAATTTTAAACACTTTATGTAGAATGCATTTTTTCCTTAAACTACACCATTTCCAAGAATATCGGTGATAAAAGTCTCAGTACCAACCTACGTCATCAAAAAAATTCCAAGATGCCCGAAATGCAAACACCTCCTTTTTTTTCTCTATGAAAGTCTGGGGCATGGCTGTGTGTGTCCTCACTTGAAAGCATCGGCCGAAGTTGTTGTGATGGTCCATGGTCGGCTTATCAAATGGTCGCTGAGCCTTGCGGAAATTTTATATGCATCAAGAGATTGAGTGTATTGAGCAGGAGAGTGATGTCACTCCAGAGACTACAGGGTGTCTTTTCGTAGAGAATGTCTATGCTTAGACTCCTTGCCGGTAAAAAGTATCCCTCCTCTCTACTCTAGGTACTCTACCTTATCTACAGTATTGACAACACACACTGCATCAGTTAGGGGGGCTTCTCACTTACTTTGCATCTGAATATGTAGTTATTGCATGAGAAATAGCTTAGTCTATATAAGCAATCCGACTGCTGATTCATCAGGAGTTGAATTTTATAAGTTTAAGTTTAGTTTCTTCAATTTTGATGTTGCACACTGTATCATCAAAACTGCTCAATGTTGTGCGTTTTAGAAGAGATCTTGAACAAGTAAGAATTAGGTAAGGGTGCTGCATGGAAAGTAAGTGCACCATTGCAGAGAATAGCATGACAAAAAATCATTTTTAATTGGTGGAATTTCTATTTGTATTGATTACAACTTTTTTAATAAATGTTTTTGACAGTAACAGAGTCCTTCCCTTCTAATAAAGCTTACAAAACCCAAATGTTTCTGTTTCAATACCTGTATCATTCATGTATTTATTTATTCATGTAGGCGCAATGCGCGAAGTTTTCCATCAGTCTTGTAGGCGCTAACATGTGCCTCATGCCGACCACTGTGTTTGGCGCAATGCGTGAAGTATTCTCACAGCCTCGTAGGCGCTTATACGCGTGTCACGCCGACCGCACTGCAGTTGTCATACGCTGTCATGCGAAAACGCAAGCAAATCTGAGCTTTTCGCCTAACTCAAATTACACGTTTTACTTACTGAATGCTGCAAATTACTTACGTTTCTCGTTACCGCTGGAACATCGTGTATTTGCTGCGATATTGAGGTGAAAAACGCGTAATTTTTGACGTTTATTCCGTACCGCTTGAATAATAGCGTATTTTGCGCGATACACAGAGGTGAAATACGCGTAATTTTTTTATCTTTACAAAACCGCTGGAAACCCCACGTATTTGCCGCGATATTGAGATGATAAACGCGTGATTTCTCACTTTATTACGAATCCGCCAGAAAAACCGCGTATTTGACTGAGATGAAAATCAGGCTAATTTTTTTGTTTATTTGTTCAATTTTTCACAAAACCGCTGGATGGACCGCTAATTTTTTGAGCATTCATGGAAATTTGCATAAAAATTGTTTTTGAATCAACTCTGGTCAACGGACATCAAGCGCGCAACTATTCTCATCAAACTCCGAAGTAGTCATGCGGTATCCTGCGAAAATGAAAGAAAATCTAAGTTTTTTTGCACGTCTCAAATCAGCGGCGTTTATGAATGTAGGTATTCTGCTCGCTTCCTACATACTAGGAAGCTTCCAAGTATGCGAATTTTGGAGTATGTATGTATCATCACGCGAAAATAAAGGAAAATCTTAGCTTTAGCAGAAAAATGTTCGCACACTGGAAAAAATCGTAAAATATTTGTATACCGAAATTAGTTTGAGCCTGCATTTGACTCGAGTGGACTCGAGATCGTATTTTGTGAGCGGGAAATGTGAATTAAAGTAGACAGGAATCGTTATTTTCTCTTTAATGAGCTCAACTCGGAACGTTTTAATACGTCTATCGCATTCCATATAAAATTCGGTGAACAATTTTTATGCCCTATCTTGTGGTCCATCGGGTTTTATTTAGAAATTTATCTATTTATTTTTCAATAACATTTTTTGTGGAAAGTTGAGGAAGACCAGAAACTTTTGGAACTGTTGTCCGGGGTTTTGAGCACACGTAACTCGGGAATTCAAGTGATTCTCATATTTTTAAATATTGAAATTCCGAAAATTATGTATTTTATGACATGCTAAAAATATCAAGGAAAGTGGCTGTCTAGGAACTAAAAATCATTCAAAATACTATTGTGTGCTGCAAATTTTTACTGAGAATTTTTTCTTACAGGAGCAATGAATTTTTTGGTCCAAAATTAGGAAAATAACCAAACTTTCAAACCAAGTTGGAATATTTGACTATTTGCCCAGGCATTTGATAAAATGCCTGATTTTACTATTTGCCTGCGACGGATCTACACTGAAAAAAAGAATCTTAAATTTCCCGCCAAGAAGTATTTCCTCTTAAATCAAGAATTTTGCTGGTTAATATACGCTATTTTTTTGCTTGACCCAATCATTATTTTTCTTGTATTAAGAAAAGGTCAGCTTAAAGCAAGAAAAAAAAATTCTTGGCGGCAAATTCAAGAGTCATCATGCTTGATCCAAGCTACTTTTTTTTTTTTTCAGTGTATATTTTTTCCCCCACCGCACTGATCTCAAAAACTGTCCTCCTTCACTCCCACCGTGACCTCTTTGGAATACGTTCCACTTATACAGCCCAAATTACCA